CTTTCAGGCACAACAGGCCACCGACTGTAGTTGTTAAATGCCACAACAATCCCTGGCCTAATGTTACCCTACATATAAATGATTCCAACTTCCATACAGTGGTGTGGCATACAGATATTACATTTAGGGGGGAAAAAAAGAGCACACGGGTATTGGATTGGTACGGCAGATGCCCTGGATTTAGGTATTGTAATTATATCAGGGGATAAACAGTTTGTGTGTCAACAGATTTACCATCTTAAACATGACATTTATGAGCCCTCACCCAGCGAACAAACTCCCCAAAGTGTCATTATCGAATCATCAATAGTTTCCACATTATGGAGATTATTGTCTGTAGCAATAGGAATCACCTGATTGCCTTAACTTCCCCAAAAACCATTAAATGAGCACGATGTATATTCTGCATTGGGGGTCTAATGTTATTTCCTCTTTGACAGACTGGGTGGACCCCGCCTCCAGCCTCCAGTGCATGCTGAACAGTGACAGGCGGTAGTACATGAATGAATGGGTGGATTCACCCTTTAATTCCCCACACTGATGTTTAGGCCTTAACGCTGGCCCTCCTGCAATACAGCTCATAACAACCAATGGGAGGCACGCTCTGGATGCAATCTCAGCAATAATCGTATTTATCTTATAACAAATGAAGATCTGGACCTCGCTGTAGTGAAAAAAGACTTCATTTTGACAGATTAAGGGATGGTCTGATGGCAGCAGCTGCCACCTCAGTGAGGGTCTGCGTCACCAGCCAGCATCTACCAGGAAACAGCATTACAGCTATGATATAATAGGACGTAACGTGGCTCATACAGGGGAGAGCCAGCTATAACGTTAGCAGTGTGAGGAGCTAGTGGTCAGCAGCTCGATGTCGGTGCAAACACCTCCCTCCCTCCCTCCCTCCCCCCCCCACCGCCTCGCATCCCTGGCAGGTGTGTGTGAGCCGTGACCGACTCAGCTCACAACCAACACCGTTTCTCTTCAGACAGACAGACGCCACTAATATCTCCACAGGAAATCAACATTTGGGCTGAGCGGCTCGGTCATTAGCGCTGTAATAACGATGAAATGTCAGATGAAGGAGCTGGTGTAGTTACCGCTGAAGACCATGGCCGCAGAGGCTCCCATCACAGCGAAGAAAGGCGAGTACTCGGGGCTCTCCTCAGAAGACATTCTCGCACTTTTCTCGGGGCGATACAGCTACAAGACAGACTATCTTCTTTTTTTATAGCTTTTCCCCTTTCCCACCGTCAGCTGTGGACAGGTTAAAACACTGAGAGGGGGCGACAACGTAGCTGCCAGCGAGAGCACCGGTGTAGAAGAGGAAAATGGCGAAACGGAAAAAGTCACATGATCAACCATCTCGGAAGGAACCATCTGTGTGGACATAGGGGTGCGCGGCACAAACAGGCTTTAAATACCTAACCCTCGCCGTTTATTGCACCGTATTCTATCTTAGAGAAATTATCTTCATGTGGTGGTTATTTTCAAAGTGATTGAATGTAACAACAGTTTGTAAAAGCACAATATATGATATGAGTAGTTTGTACAGTGTGTGTATTGTGGTATGTTCTGCTGCAAGTGCATTGACTGCAGTTGAAACGCTAGTAGTCACTACACGCTGGCGTATTAATTATTAGGTATCAAATAGATGGTAAAATCAACCTTAAACACTTGTGTTTGCTCTATAATTAAAAATATACAACAACAAATAGGCAGAGTAAGCTAAAGGCTTAAAGAAAGCTCAGTAACACAATGTCCATATCCAGCATACACCATCCTAGCTGTACAGCAGTATGTATGTGTTGTATGTTATGGGTTTATTTTTTATTATCATGGAGTAACCTGGCAGGGATCGCTTAATTTAAATCAACATTAGAGCTCCTCTAGGAGTCAAACAAACTAAGATTGTCCTGATTAAGTAAGGATGGAGACACATCCTAGAGCTGACTTTGTCAAGGTGACACTGTGAAATGGTTGTTTCTAATGTCAGCTTAAAGGACATTTCATTTTCATGCTTCTTTGGGGCAGATTTTGACTATATATTACACACACATATACACTTTCATATTATATTTGACCTCTTTTTTTAAAACAACAACCACCCCAACAATATAGTTTCTTAAAATTGATATTTGAAAGTTTGTTGTAATCTGTGTCTTTAATAATCCATCTCCTTGAAGCTGATCGTCTCCAGTTTGCATTTTAAAAATACCTCATATAGATTTGTTGGTCAAAGATTTTCTAAACAGTCAGTATAATTGAACTGAAAGATTAGAGCAATAAAAGGCTTTAAATTTAAAGTGGCAACACTTATCCTCCAGAATATTACACCAGAAATGTGTCACTTTTAGATTTGATCTTCACCACAGCACAACCCTGCTGCCAGCTTGCACACTGAGGAAGGGCATCTGCCCCAAATGTCTGCTCATAAATAAACAATTTAATTGGAGTTCTGTCCCGCTCGTCATTTCTGATCTTCACAGCAGCCACAAGTCTTGTTGAAGTGTCCTGGAGCAAGGCACTAAATCCTAAAGTGTTATAAATTAATGTAAAAAACATACATCCATCGTAAAAGAAATTACAAACACAAGAGTTTTGATAAATTCATTGTGGAAATTTTAATTTGACAATAAGCCTTACATACATTTTCTTCTGAGACTGAATTATAAGAATAAGAAGAAAGAATACATAGACTGTACTCCAAATATAAACATATGCACATCATTGCAATATTTAAAGTAATTTCCGCCTGGGATTATTGAAGTATGTCTGATTCTAATTCTGATACTCTGCAAACTTTAGAAGCTTTATTTACATTAATTTGTTTTGTAGGTTTGAGTATTCTGCAGTCTTGATTTCACAATGTTAATTTTGAATTAGTTCTCAGCTACAGCAGATGTATTCACTGACTTTGATAGTATTGACCACAATACTAATTACACTCAGCATCAGTTTAAATAGAAGTAAATTTGCTTTACAGGGAAAAGTTTCAATGCCACTCCCAACTCTATGAGCTATGAGGGACTTTATGAATTCTCTAAGATGAAGTCTTAACAACTCCTTCATTTCATTTCTTATATTATTTCCAGTTGATGTTCTGGTCTATACCACAAACCCCAAACAAGCACTCTCATTTCCTCCCAGCTTAGGAAAGATTCCTACACTACGTGGTGGGATGTGTGCAGCAAACCTACTGTACGCTTCAGCATATTATGGAAGATTATTTAAATTAAAATAAATATTTCTCTGCGCTACTTGTAAAATGTTTCTCACTGCTTATCATTCAGTAATGCCTTTAACTTGTTCATGTCATGAGAATGTACTCGCAGTAACCTTTTACAATACAGATTTTGTGAAAGTGAAAGCAGATAAAATACTGCACACACATGACTGTCAGCAGCCTCTCCACAAGTTCTGGTCAGAGCTCATTCATGTGACCTCTTCCTACTCCTACTAAGTATTATAATCACTTCTTTACAGTAAGAGGACAATATGTATTCACTTTATTTTGCTTTGCTGTTTGTGTTTTTGAAAGTAATATATAAAAATAATTTCAATATTGCAGCAAACTGTATAATATGTGTTGTTTTTGTCTAAAGATTTTTTTTGTTATAAAAGTACATTAGTGTACAGTAGAGTGGATTTCTTATCAGGCTGACTGGGTTTGAGAAAACATTAACATATTAACCAAAAGAAGCCACAGCTAAGCGGCTAGCTTGTCAGAATTTAATAATAATAATATAGCAATATTAAAATCCTATAAACCATAAATCAATCAAACCCATCAGATACACACATCCTGCTGCTACACAATAAACATTAAAAAGTCCATGCTGGAGGTTTTTAACTTTCTTTCACTCACTCATTTTGTCTTCTACTGTATATATATTCCATTTTCATTTGTTTGCAGTGGCATAATCAGAATCAGAATCAGAAATACTTTACTAACCCCAGGGGGAAATTCCTTTCGTTACCTACTCCAGAACATGTATCAAGAATATATATAAATATATATATTAAGGTTAAAATGTGCAAAAAGTGCAAAAATGATTGTCTGTGTTTGAGGTTAGATTACAGAGGGGGTGTGTCTGACTCTAATATCTAGCATGTTGATATACCGTACATACCTAGGCAGTAATTATTATATTGGGGAAGACAGTTTTAAATGTATATGAGATAAGATAAACCTTTATTAATGCCCAATATACCTCTAGAAGTACTCACATCACCATCTGCTTGCAAATCTACTGACAGGGTTGTTCTATCACTTTTAAAAATGTAATCAGAAACAATTACCATTTACACAACTGTAGTCTGTAACCTAATCGCAGTAATACTATATTAAAGTAACTAAGTTAAAATTACTAGTTAAGTTACTTTTGCATTATCTCAACCCCATATATGCAGACAAAGACAAGAGAAAAGCAATATCAATATGATGACTTTATATATTCTATAAGACAACAGAACAATGTAACCTTAGAAAAAAAAACAACCAAGATCTTTACTCATTTTTTAAAGAAAAACTTGGTTTTGTCTTGAGGCTACGCAGGCAGTAGTCTACCCGGAGGTGAGAACTTGCACTGTAATATTGTTCCTCTTTCTGCTTTAAAGACAAAAGAATGGTGAAATTTCCACCAAATAAAAGCACTTTTTCCCCCCCACCTCATCATAATGAATTGGCAACTGTAAGTTCAGCAATGGTTTGAAACTGTTCATTACAACATCATTACACCACATGCATTAGCAAATGCTGAATAAAAAGGAAGTTTAAATGCTGCATAAAGTCTGAAAGTGAAGCAGAGGACGATCAGTTCTCAAGTGGTGAAGATCAGACTTAAATGTTGGTTTTGTCTTTTGAAGAAATTACTTTTCTCGAGCATCTATACATCTTTGAAGTTGTTTTAATAATTCAAGAAAAGACAAAATATATGTATGTATACACATACATATACACACACACACACACACACAATAAAATACCACAAGCAAAGGAAAACTGGTTACAGACACACTGTATTTTAATGAAAGATTAGGCTAAAATAATACACTTTTAATGAAAGAAGCAGACAGTAAAAATCACCATAAATATGCTACATAATCCTAATCACACTTTGCTCTAACACGATTGAGTAAATGTATCTGTAAGGGCGGCTCAGTGTTAGGCTATACACAAACATGTAGGACAGATTTCATCAGCATGAAGTAAAAGTGATGATATCCCAGCTGTGCAGTGGAAACTCTAGATGTGAACCCCAGAATAATGCTTCTCAACACCGTCCAGCTAAGACATCTCAGCGCGCACACGCACACGCGCACACACACACACACACGCACACACACACTCTAAAATGTATTACCTACAAGCAGAAGACACTCATACTCCAGATTTAAGAATTCTTGCAGGAGACGTTTGCGGGCTTTAACATTACTATTTCAACATACTGATTGCCTTTGGCAAAATGTGTTACTGATCTGACCATAAAAAAATTAATTTCATTCATAAAAAAAACAAGCCCTCCCACTGCTATAAGCATTCCCATCCCCCCACAAAATACTAGATACTTTACTCAGTTTGGGCCAGATATGTCTAAAAGTGCACCTTAAACTCAAAAGGAAAACCCAAATACCTGCATCTGATGTGTAAGAAGGTCAGATTGTTTGACTTGACACTGTTCTCGCCCCCCACAGTGCGACTGCTCAGTGGTCGGTCGCTGATAAGAGTTTCATCACTCAAACACACACTTTAAAATCCAACATGCACACGTGCCTGTGTGACTACATCTCCCAGTCGTTCACACACAAACCCTGCACTCATTCAGTCCATGTCCCAGCACAACTAGCAATTGGGATAGAAATATCAGCAAATGTGTTGTTGTGGTCGCTGGAAAAACACGAAGAACAGAAGATAAGGCATCACATGCTACTCTTGGCAAAGCCGTACGAAGTGAAAGTGTGGCACAGCAATGGCTCGAACGCGGGATGAGGAAGCTACACTGGAACCCTTTAAAGTCGAGGGAATGCAACTTTTGAAAAAGTCATGAAGAAAGATGAAAGTTTTCTCCTCAGTCCCAGCCGTTGTCCTTTATCATGTGGGACAGCTCGATGATAAACTTCCCTTCCTTGTACTTCTGACTCAGCTCAAAGGCTTGTTCCTGCAGAAGGGAAAGTGGATTAAACTTTAGCTCAAACCAGATTTATAGCATGGTTATGTAGACCTCTGTACTAAACCCTACACAATAGGTTTGGAAGGTGGGAACCACGTTAACCCTTTTCGCCAACCCTGTAAACCTGTTTTATGGGTGAACAAGCCGGCTTTTTAAGTGGATGCACTTACATATTTCCAGCCAAGTGTGGTGTGACAGTTTTCACAGTAGATGTCGGCGACTGCGTGAAGTCCTGTGAGCAGCAGCCTCTCCTCCGCAGGACCACAGCCGACGTTCACCCTGAAAACAAAGGTAGTTTTCAGAATGCAGAACTATATTCCTGTATCACCCTAACTTCTTTAAAAAAAGGAAAAGAAAAAGTCAATGAAACTTGCGTTATGGGCAGGATGGCTTTCCATGAAACCATTTAGAACAGTTTCACCTGAACAGATCAAGGTTTAAACTGAATAGAAGCAGATAAAGTTAGATTAAGTGCTGAAGTTATTTAATGGTCTCACCTCTTGGGCTCACAGAGAGCCTCTGTATTTCTGACCCACTAACCTAGGAGGAGCATGACTAAAGTTAACTCACCCAACTTCAAGGTTCACTCTAGAGCAAATCAAATTAGCTACTGACAATGCAAACCTGTCTGATACTGGGAATTTGTTTTCGGAGAGAAAACCTAGTAAACTGAAGATCATAGATTTCTTTTTTTCCTTTTCTAAAACCAATTTAGTGGCAGTCTAAAAAAAATGGGATTAAATAAACACAAAGACACATTTGTCACTAGAGGATCGCTCACGTCAAAATCATAACAAAGGAAGATGTGATGAAATATTACTGTCCCTGTGAATGTATGGTTTATTAATGGATATCGGATCATTCAAATGTAGATCGATTTGTATCTGGAAACTGATTTTTTTTAAACCCAGCCCTATGAACAACCACCATTGCTGATGAAAATCTATCTGATGTGACAGTAACCATGTCATGGACGAGGGAATGTAAAAGCTTTATTCATGTTACATTTAGTCACATTTGCCGACTTCCTTCCTAATTCTGATATGCTGAAGTTACAACAGTTAGAGGTGAGAAAAATATCACATATTTCTCTGGGATGTTGTTGGAAACATTTGGGATAACATTGGTACAAAACTCAACAACATATAACATAGGTCTAGCGTTTTTTAGACATTGTGATGTAAAATTCCAACATATAGCTTCATAACACAGCTTTTAAATTGGTCTGATGCTTATACCAGTATCAGAAATTCCTCTGATAGAGCCTAAAATACCAGAGTAGAGTACTGCAGCGGTTCAGGTAACTTGGGTAAAAAATATATTGACGTTGACAAATTATCAAATGCCAGTAGGCAGTGGATGAAACAACAATGTATGGTTTCCTCTGGAGAAAATGACTGTGTAGGCTATTTTTAACATTTAAATCAGTTAAATATTATCAAGCCTAATCTGCTGCCAGGATGCTCTTTTATTGTGAAAGCTGCAAGCTTGCACATCCTCTTTGAGGACATACAGCTGCAGCAAGAGCTCAGGTGCTGCGCCAGTAAACAGAAATTTTTCCAATAACACAACTCTCAAATCGCTGTAACAGAGGACAAGAACACTATGACCAAGATCAGATCTTTTAAAACTGCAGGCAGAGATGGATTTCACAAACTGACAAAGGACTTAATTGACATCGATGTCCATCTGATCGTGTGGACGCAGCAGCATTGTGAGTGGCAACAGTTGGTGACTGAGACGAACAGACTACTGCTAATTATATAACAACACTTACAATTGCGGCAGTAAAAATACGACTGTGTGAAGCGCTGGTCAGATCGTGGGTCTTTTTTTTAACGATCTGGGTTTGACTTGGAGATAATTGCAGGTAATGGGTTGGTTCTGGTTCTGAGCTCTGCAGGTGCAGGTTTGGACCCGTACAGGACTCTAGGTTGGAGTGTGGGACATTTCTCTTTTATTTAGAAAACCTAGCATCATCCAGTGAAGCATCTCTTTTGTAAGATTCTGAATGATGACTCAGGAGGCAAATGGAGACAAATGTTGTGGATGGAGGTTGTGTGTTTTAAAATGAAAACAACTTGTGATTGTCCATTTCTTTGTGTTTGTTTGGATTGTGTAAGATAAATGCTCATTTAAGAGGGTTCACAGTGAACTGAAGAAACATTTATATAATCCTACTGGGGCCCAGAGGATTGATACGTGTGACACAAATGATTTAGTTTACCATCATTTCCTAAAACAACTATTGTTAACACATTCAATGAAGCAACCACGGCTAACGTTAGCACGCCTGCAGCCAGCACCAAAGTTAAACCCTCCATGTACGACGAGACTTTAAGTCAGTTTTAATTAGCTAGTTGGATAAGTTGGAGATAACTTGCTGTTTTTAACTCTCTTGGTTGGCGTTAGCTTAGCATTCTTACTAGCGTCAGCCACAGGACTGTCAACTCACACATTGACCAATTGAAACTTCTCACAGGCTCTCGTGCCACAAATTCATTTTCTCCCGCAGCAAAAAACTAATTTATAACAGATGAACAGAATGAAAAGAAACACAGAGCACCTCTTGCACTTGTAGGAGTGAGTGAGTAACTATGGTATGAGGATGCTCTGTGTCTCTGACACTCTGACATTGATTCCCAGTAAGAGATTATTATTGTTATTATTAGGTTAGTATGCCTTTGCAAAATCATTAACGTAGTTGGGAAAATCCCCAGATACCCTGGTTAGGTTCGGTCTCCTGATTTAGGCTATGATCATTGGAGGTTAGCAAGTGTGCTGATCGACCATACATGTGAGATTTTTTAGTATGCCTGACACCTTAGTATGAAACAAACAGTACATGAATTGCATGCTATTTACAGGGAAATATTACACAAACAACACAGTAGTGAGAGAAATTTGTTTTTTTTTACAACTGAAATGACATTTTTGTTAACAAAAAAGGGACAGAAGTACAGAAACTACCCACAAAAAAGGTACCAAATTTTATGCATTTGGCCCTGGTACTGGTTCCAATGTGAAGGTTACCCAACCCTAGCTGCTAGTGTGGCATTTTGAAATAATTACAGTCAATTGGCAAGCTAGCACACTATCTTAGAATCCTTCAGTTTTTGCATTCTCGTGTATTGCTATATTAGCTTTGACAGCGGAAGTAAAAACAATACAATTTGACAACATAGGTTGTATGCATATGAATATTATTGAGACATTATTGAGACGCAGACAACTTTTCCCAAGCCAAATCACATTATAACAGCAAAAGCTTTCATACAGTTCAGTTCAAATATGCTTTCGAAACAGTGTGTGTGCACTGACAACTTTCTCCAGCGTAGATATACTTATGGACCTCCAAACTTGATGATAGACTGAAACTCTTCTCACACGGTTCCCAGAGGTAAGGCTTTTCTCCAGTGTGGATACGCCGATGAATCTTCAAACCTGACAGCTGAGTGAAAACCCTCCAACACTGGTCACAGGGGTAAGACTTTCCTTGAGTGTGGATACGCTTATGTTGATTCAGCGGTCCTCCCTTTATACTCTTCTCACCTTCATCATGAGGTCTTTCTGAGTTTTTGCAGTTCTGTTTATATGAAGCAAAAAAAACAGAGACAGAGATGGAGATAGTCACAAGAATCAAGTCACAAGAAAGTATATTAAATGGCAAATGCTACCTAGTTACACAAGAACAGGTCTCCTGCAACGAGGACAAAATGGACTGTCTTTGTCATGTCTACTTTTGTCTTGTAATGAAACCTGAAAATGTCTTCTGGCCTCCATACCGTGGTAGCCTAATAATCACACTGAAGGATCTTAAGGATCACAGTTTTGTTTTCTTTGTTGTGGCCTAAGCATTTGCTCCAGATGTTTCCTAGGAGCTGATTTACACAGTACTACTACCACTGACGGGTGCTGAGGTAGTAAAGTTACATTTTCAAATTCCACACATAGCGGCTTTAAAGTTAAAGTAACTAACCTCTGCTGATGAACTCATTGTGCTGCTGGTATTACTCTTCTCTTCTACCAGATATCCCTCCATCCGTGAATCAACTCTGACCAAATCAAATAAAGATAGTAAGAGTCCTTGAAAACACAAGTTTCCATATTAAGTAACGTTAGTGTTGCTATAGTTCTTTTTTATGGTTAATATTCAAACTTCAGCTTAAAAATGAACTATATTTGGAAAATGGGAACAATAAAACAATTTAATTGTCTTTACTTGTGCAAAGGAAAAGGGCCTCCACTTCCCAACAAGACAAGAGTTAACGTAGTAAATTTACAAAACAATTTAACTAGCTAATCAATTGATTCCACTAAATACCGAAATTAAAAGGTTTCACATTGAAAAACTAACAACCAACTTAAGTAAAGTAATTTAAGTAAATTCATGATGGTTGGCTCTTGAGTGCTTTATCTGCCAGTGAAGCTCTGGCAGCCAAATCTGTTTGTCTGGATTTAAGTTTTCTTGAGGACACACTCCTCTAAACTACAGACCATCACATAGAAATAAAACAGCTTAAGAAAATGTGTTTTCTTACCTTTAACATGTGAATTAAGTTGAATTATCTTCTGCAGGTTCATGAAGTCAGAGAGGTTTGAAAGATACATGGATGCTCTCCGTGGTAACCAAGGCTGAATCCAGTTCAAAAGGTTCCAATTCCAAAATGTTTCCAAAATAAACACCATGCACTAAATATGTTTGAATCTGAAACTGTGCACCGAGCGAAGCTTTAAGCCACAGTAATGAATACATTTAAAAACAAGGCCCGGATCATCACGGTCATCATTTGTCACTTTATGCAGCTGTGTAAATACATGCATGCATTGACTGACAATTCCCCACTTTTATTATTAAATTATTAGTGATCTTATTCCAATTACCTAAAGTAGTCACATGTGTGCTAAAGGATTCTACAATAGTGTGCTGACACGCTAATATTAGCAACATACTAAGCAGGTGACACCAAAATGCGTCGCCAGCCAAACTGTTTTCAATTGTCTCTCCAGTGGAATCCATTTATCTCCATTTGTGGTGATTTTGAAGGTGATTTTTTTTGATAAACTGAAGGTAAGAGTGTTTCTTTATGGGTTGAGAAAATGTTCCCACTTCTGAAGCTAAATTAACCATTTATAAGCCCTCTTGAATTAAAATTAGAAAAGATATGTGGTTCTCAAAAAAAGCGAACTATTCAGTTAGATAGTGATTCATTATGTAATGCAATTAAGATTTCATGCTATTTCAAGCACTTTATACAAAATCTAAGCACTTTTCAGACCTTAAACACACCACATGGAAATTCAAGTGCTGTCATTTGCAGCACATGTACGAACCCAGTAAAATACTCACACAGAGTTGAAGAGGTAGGCTCGTCCTTGGCTGCCTTGGAAAGACTACGAGACATGGAGAAAAAATAAAATTAGAGGAAAAGAAATTGACATGTGTCCATTCAATATGTGGATCAAACAACAAATCAATGATACATTTTCCAACTTCACAAAAAAATCTCCCAAACGTCAGTCCAGTTTTTCCGGTTTAGCTGCTTTCTAAACTATGCCAGAGCCACGAAGTTGTGTTCAGAGCCACCTGAAATGATTAATAACAACAAGGCTCACCTTGGAAATAAGATCGTCATGGTTGGCCAGGTGGGCGCGGCAGTGCACACAGCTGTAGCGACGGTGGCAGGAGTCCAGGTAAGCCTGGAACGTCTTGGCCTTTGTCAGCTTCACCATGGCTGAGGAGGAAGAGGGTAGGAGGAAGCAGAATTGTAGTATGTTGTTATGCATGTGTTAGTGGTGCAGGAATACAGGCTCCTAATACTCACTGTTTAACCATACATATGAATTGAGGACTTTCCTTTTGATTACGTTCACCTACAGCAATGAGGAAGTTGAAGACATTAGGCACAGGCAGGTTTGCCATTAGCTTTTAACACCATTGCATAAAAGCAACAAAACACTAGAAAGCAGACCTGACCTAAATGCTAATAAACCGATTCTGGAACAATCGGTCGATTAACCAGTCAGACAACATTCATTATGACAATCAGTTTAGTATTTCAGACAATAATTTGCAGCTTTTCAGATCATGTTCAGTCTTTTGTCTTTTGCACACAATTGTGGGAAGTGAGTATCTCAAGTGAATCAAAGACCTAACAAGACAAAACTTATTACTGGGCTCAGCCAGCTTAGGTTTAACACTTGATTGACCAAGATGGTTGATTAAAAACTACAAAGCCCATGTTTTCCCATGTTCCTGGTAGGAATGTGCTTCCATTGATTGGGACAGACTAATCTAACCACACTGTGAATGACTGAACAGCAGCCCTAGTAAACACTGAGCTGTTACCGTGTATCTCCTTATTGTCTATACCGTGCAGGGGCTGACCTATAGCGGAGGAAACATCTGACAAGGCGTGTATTGTTATAAATGAACACAATTAGTGGAGACTAATGTTGACAGACGGGCTGGGACACAGTGAACCAGGACGCCTGCTTCCTGGTTCATAATAGTTTGCACAAACAATCCCTGCTTCATTAGCTGCAGTCAGTCAACCCAAATCCAAGCATCCCCCTGCAACGTGCGCTGCGCCATGTAACGTTATGTACTGTCCGACACTGCTGACCGCCTGTCACTCGGTTAATACAACACACATGTCCACAAAAGGGCCTGAGACATCTGTCCGCTCCGACAGACACTGGTCACAAGCTCTGACCGAGAGTTAGCTTGCGTGTTGGCTAGCTGGTTAGCTTCACTGTCACAACATAAGGCAGCTAGCAGCAGACAGCGCACTGCAGGATCTTCCCCGGCGGTCTGTGGCTCTCACCTGGTACTACTGAGGCTCTCTGCAGTCTGCACGGCCGGCACAGGGTGGCTGACAGCGGATTCAAAGCAGCAGGTAAGGTGGTCGGCAGGTCGGCTCCGTCCAAGTGTCGACCACGCGCTGACGGCTCGGACAACAAAGACAAACACAGACAGGCTCCGGTCGCTGCAGCCCGTTTACCCGCGTCCCGGGTTTGAATCCGAACCAGTTTTCCAAAGTTCCTCCGCGGCCTTCGCTGAAACGGGAGCAGGAATCCGACAGTGCTGGCAGGCTGACAGGATGACCGTGCGACGGCCCCAGCGGGAGGAAAAAATGTGGTTTGTTTATGAAAACACGCAGAGGAGGAAGTCTGAAGAGTGCAAAACAAATCCCTGTCGACCAATGGGAGCCGGCGGGTGACGTTTAGAATGTGGGTCAACCAATCAGAGTCGACTTCACAGGAGCCTTTTATGGCTATCAGTTGGATTTTTGGTACAGTCTTATAAATGTTGTTGGTGGTTATCAGGTCCTGCTGCTGGGTTTGGGATAAAGTCCTTCACACTGGTTGCAAACGGTTTCTGGATTTATTTGCAGTATTGACTCGAGGCTTGTGTGTGTGTGTGTGTGTGTGTGTGTGTGTGTGTGTTGGATGCTGTTGCCAGGAGGTCAAAATCCCCCCGATTAATATGTCGATTATTGGCTTGATTAATCATTTGGTCCAGAATAGAGTGAACAATCTTGTTTTTTCTGACCAGAAGGCCCAAACCCAAACATATTCCTCTTACAGCCATAGATTCAAGAATTAAGACAAACAGCCAGTATTCATAATTTTTCTAAATTGTTGCAGATTAATTTTCTGTCAATTGATTAATCAGTTAATTGACCAATTGTTTCAGCTCTATTAAAAAGCCTTCCCTGCATTGTGAATTTTTTTGTTGGTTTTTTTTTGTCTAAAAACACTTTATATTTTAGGTATAGTCCCAAGTTGTGTAACATGTGAATCTAAACCCAACCTAATGCCAATAAACCCTCTAGAGTCCCAAAAATATGACTGATGATGTCCTCTGTGTCTTGTATGAACACAGGAGCCTGAATTCACTGCTGGCTCGCTTATTCAAACCTTTTCTCCGTATCTACCCTACTGAAGACGTCAGTCTGCACCGATCCACTTATATTCTATTAACTCATTTGTCACAGGGGAAGGCACAGCCAAGCAGGTCAGAAAAATACAGTCTTTGTTTCACCAACAGACTGGTTGATTATTATCACAGCAGTGTGGTTGGACTTTGACCGTAGCCTGGGAAAACAAGGACACAGGTGAGGCTTACAGCACATTAAAAACCTAGTTTATAGTAGATGAGAGGCTGTATTAAACACAGATCCACAACACAGCCTACATACTAATAATGCTATACTCACCTATATGGATATATTTATAGCAGCCTATCAGTAAGTGTACCTTTTCCTTACTTTCATTTCCAACCCCCATGTTGGTTTTATTTTCATCTTAATGCCATAAAAAATATATAAAAAAATACAAAAGCAGCACTTTCTCATACCGATCAAATAATGGCAGAAAATAACTCCAGACGCAGTCAAAACAAAGTCAGGTGACGTGGTCCAGCTGGTTAAATATTCTCCAGCTACAAACACTGGACCTTCCTACAGGCATTTTTTCACAGACTGACAACTGAAATTAAACCAAACTACAACCAACAAACTAAATAAAAGAAATACTTGTTTCACTTGTTTTGAAACCCAATAAAGACCTGACTGCTACTGTCCCATTTCACTCATCAACACAGACATCAGAGTCAAAAGTGAGGCTCTAGTTTACTTTGATTCTTTCCATAATCCATCCCGATCGTTTATTAAAGGTGAACACTCATCCAATAATACATGCATATAATAAGTTTAACCCTTCATTGGGCACTCATTGAAAAACTTGGACATTTAAAATATTAACCCTGGAGTGTTATTGGTGGATATAAGAAGACATTTTTTCTTTTTTTACTTTTTAAAAAAGTTTCAGTTTTAGGCTGCAAATCAAAGTCAATGATGTGTAGGTGGGCTGGCACAACAGCAATCTGTGGCACAGCAGGCCTCCTCTTCCCATAGAAGGACTGAGCAGACAGCTGCTGCAAAAGAAATATAACACATCCATATACTATGAAAATATGTAATAAATAAGCCATAAAACAAATCAAGCTCAAGCCCACTTTGAGTTATTTGTGAAAGAAAGCTCTAACAGTGAAGTGTTTATTAGTATTTCACCTATAAAAAAACCCCACCAAAATATGCAATAGGAGTGTTATAAAAACTGTCATAAGGAAGTTACCTTAAATGGTTCCTCGCCCGATTAAGGGTTAAAGTGTCCCTAAAATAAATGTAACTCTCAATCATTCCAATTAAACCCACCCTCACCTAGACTTCAAAATCACCAAATATTATTGGATATACAATACACCAAATTGGCAACCGAGAACCAAAAAAACCCACATTACTTCCATTATTTATTGGCAAACCAACTCCAACTCTTAAGTGGATTCAATTACAACCAACAAGACAACACGTCTTCTTTCTCCACATCTTTGTTTATCATTATCTATTGTTGCCTTGAGTTGTTGTTGTCATCAACTATTCAGTTATTCATCACCACTCATTAGATAAACTCCCTGTTTTCTTGAACATAAATATCATTATCATTGCGAGGGTTTGGGGGCAGCCCAAGGCAATAACACCTGTAAGATAAAGATAAGAAAAGATAAAGAAGAACTGCAGTGAAGCCCTGTAAAACCCACGCTGTTGATATATCTGTTATATTAAATACACACATACATAATGTGTGTATGTGCACATATATGTATTTTCCTTTTCACCACTTTTTCTTTTTTTTCCCATTTGATTCTTTCTTTATTTTCCTCCTCTTCCTCCTCCTCCTCCTCACACATACCTGCACATTCCTCTGGTCACACCCATGCAAATATGAATACTCGACACACAACAACACACTTTCATACAGGAACAGAAACACATAGGCTCCTAATATGACATGTGTATATGTATGTGTATGTGTTGTTCTCCCATAAACAACTAAAAATATGCACCAATTACAAATCATAACCTCTGTTTGTTAAGTGTTTCGTGTTATTGTCTGTATTATATTTGATTACGCCTATGTCTGTACTGTGTCTCATTGCAGTAATAAAGAAAAAAAAAAGAAAAATCAAGTAAAATCCCTCCAGCACCGTTAGAGTTGTTGCTGAGAAAACTCAATGACTGTTTCTGTCTGTGTCTGACTGACTGATTGAACTGACTGCAGATAATTCAAATCAACAGTGAACAATGAACAGCTCATCCACTGATATTGTCACGATTGAGGAAATGTGTCGGACACTTTCACAGTCTTTTTGTGTACACAATCCTCATTCATCATTTCCATGTGATGAGTTTATTAATTGTTGTCATGTGCGGACGTGTGCTGGGTCAATCCTGACTTCTGTTTCTGCAGAGGTAGCTTGTCAAGAGAGTCGGATAGTCACTCATCACCCCTGTGGCCCCCACTTCAAATGCAGCCTTTATGTCTTCATCTTCATTGCACACAAACAAATGCACCTGCGAGCACAGACATATGAGTCAACTGTAATGATCTGTTTAACGGCTCAAAAAACATACTTGTACAGTTTGATCTCTTTTATATCACATGACTTTCATTGACCTCATTTTAACAGACCTGCTTGTAAACACGATTTTGAGGTTTGCTACAGAAAATAATGCCTCATTTATGATTGGTGTTGGCAAAATGTACTGTTATTGGAGTTTTATAAGTTAGAGTTTGTTCATGGTCAAACAGGGAGTTTCACCTCTCTGGAGTCTAACTGACCTCAAACATGAGTAATGACACTATGGCAAATAAACATAAAACATGAAATATTTCCTTATTCAGTGTAATGACAATGCTTTTTGTCATTTAGTTGATTCTGCAATCAGTATAATTATTTTTACACATACAGCAGAGGGGTCTGTGGGACTGCAAACACAGAGGGAGTGAAGCTTAAAATCATGTTTCCCTGTCATCCTTCCTGCAGTTTTGAGCCACAGTACGTGACTTGACCATCAATACAAGTCAAACTCTGTTGTCCTAATCTGGGAGGGTTGCAGTTGTCTCAGATGTAGCAGCCAAAATAGAGCAGACATAAGCATAAAGTCAGACCTTCGAGCACCGACTACAGTGTTTCACATTGATATGCTGCACTAATGTATGTGGCAGCAGCATTTTTCACTGTTATACCAACATATATACGTTGGTTTTAGTACCTTGTTATTAGGATTTCCTTCTATTTCTTTCTTTATTACACATATATGACGATGTATCACAGATGATTGTACACTGCTGACACACATTGGGACATTACAGTTATTTTGAGTGGAGGAAATCTTGAGGGGAAGAGCTTTTCTACCTCAGAATTACTCACAAGCGTTCAAATGCGGTGATGCCCTCAGCAGCTGACAAGGCAACGGCATATGACTTCAATTGTTTTCACTATTCAGTGACCACTCATGGGCTGACGATGGGGGTGAGCTCATCCCAGCAGAGATTACTCACATCAGGACAGAGGTGATGCATTCAAGACACTCTTAGTGGCCGTGATACTGTTTGCCTCAGTTGAAACACTGAAGTGTAATGTGCATTAACTATTAAGTGCTTTGGTTAAACGAAGTCCTACAGTTGGTACACCCTTTCAATGTATCTCTGGTTCAACACTGGGCTGTATAACTTATTGTCTGCCCTATTTTTATTTAAAGTTTATGTATTTTACTGTTCTTGTTTTCTATGCATTCCTGCAATGAACCTAGTAAACTCTGTTTTTAGGGACTGTATGTGCTGTATGTATGTATGCAAATGTGTTCATACCTGAATTCCACGGGCTGCAAGGTGTTTAAAAAGGCTCTTCCTCATTGTTACTCTGGAATGACAACATCAATTCATATATTAATGATTCAGTTTTTTCACAAAAAACAGTAAAAACAATCATACATAACTAGATTTTGCTGCTATATAAAGTGCATCACCACAAATTGTTGTAATTCTGCATAAAAGCATGACTTTGTGTAATGTTTTGTTAGTTTTTTGTTTTAGTGTAAGGCTTTTTTTTCTCTCTCTCACTTTTCTAACAAAGCGATGACCAGTCTGTTCTTCAGGATGCGGTTCTCAGGGATGAACGTCCTTCAGCAGACAGAGACAGAGAAAGAAACAACATCTGTACTGTGACACATTTATCTTACACCAAACAAGAGAAGAAAATCTAAGAAGAAATGTAAAATCTGTAGAAATACTGGGCATAGACATGAAGACAGCTGTGGTTAAGTATAGTCTGGGCAGAAATGAAGAACATCTTCCTTAGTGACAAATGCATGAACAGACATAGGGCACACCTGTTGATGATGCGCGGCAGGTAGAACTGCAGTAAACTCTCCTCCAGCGGCACAAAGGGCAGCAGGCCGCTGTAGAAGAGGAGCAGAAGCAGCACACCTCGGTTCATAGAGAAGCTGAACGGCATGGAGCCATTCTACCAGGAAACAGAGAGACACAGTTAATAATCTCACCTGTTTAGATGAGGTGAATTTATAGTAAAATGCTGTACAAGGAGCTTTGTCTCCCCCAGGTGGTTTATGTACCGTTTTGCGGCATTCCTTTATGATGCTGGAGTTCACGGAGGCCCAGACAGTGATCTCCTCCCTGTTGTAGTGTCTCACCAAGTCAGATACCTTCGAATGGACAGGGGGGTGGGGATGGGTATCAAATTGAAATACAGGTAATATGAAACAAGACAGACACTTGCAATGTACAAACAGGAACATCACAGGCGTAGCTGCTTTAGAGTTCAGGGGGCAGTAAATACATAATTATACCTGAGGAGGACAAAATGTTGCAAAGACCTTAACTTTGAAGTTAAAAAATGCTCATAGGCAGGATGTTTGACTTCAAAAGAAACCACTTCTACATGTGGGAGTTTTAAAGCAACATGAAGTCTAAATTGAAGGCACATTGCTCATTAAAAAAACAGACAAACTGCAAAGTGGCTGTAATTTAAATCCCATCATTAGAGATACTCTTGACATTTAACTGGATAGTTGCTAAGCATCACAAATTGAAGCCTCAAAACCCGATCCCTCGAGCAAATACAAACAGCAAAGGGTCTGATTGGTTAGTTGTTCACCTTTCCTCCACCATCCAGAAAGCCAATAAATTACAATTATCTCAGGTTCCCTATTTTATTTTGAGGGAGTTTTATTTTATTTCTTACTGAGTTTTTATTTTGTATTTGTTTTTTGTCAATGCTTCATATAAAGAATGTCAATAAATAAATATCGTATCACAGTTAGTTACTGGTTAGATGTTGGTGATCCAATAAATCCACTGATATTCAATGTTACAGATGATAATAAATATTGTTTCATGTTCTGGAGATTATTTCCAACCACTAGCAATGTGGTTGGGTGTACCGTACCTTTTCTATCAGCTGGTGGTTGTTCTCTTTGATCTCAATGCTGACAGGCATCTCAGGGAACTTCCTGAACACGTCCTCGAGCAGAGCAAACTTCCTGTCTGCACCGCTGCTGTAGCGACCTGGAGGAGGGAGGTGTGACAATGAAGGCTACAGACTCACACTCTCCTGTTGACCTACTTCTTCATCACATGTTTTTTTGTAGATGACTGAGAGTAAAGAATGAGAGGAGCAACTCGCCTGCATAAAATGTCATCTCCAGTCTCTCCTTATATACAGGCAAATCCTAAAAGAGCATAAAAACACACATAAAAGTTATATTATTATAATATATTAAACTCTGAGGAAAACCCTTATTCAGATTACGGTTAATGTAATTGATTAAAACGTATCTTTCCAGGACAAACAAAAAGATAACCAGGTTTTTTAATCTGACAAAAGTGCGTTTTCTAACACCAGCCCGGTTCATGGGCCTAAGTTTTATCTATTAACTCAGTAACTAACTCATTTAGAAATCCTGCTTGGTGAGATGTGTCTTCAAGGCATCACAGATAATCATCATCATTGCATGCAGCTATTTTGAACATTGCAGTTATACTGGAGCAACCTGAAATATAGGGGAATTTATTTTAAATGTGAATGATGCTGCTTATTATACACATCTGAGCCTGTCTCAGCATGACCCTGTGCCCTTTCTCCTAACCACCCATAGGATCCGTCCTCCCACCTGTAGCTTGAGTGAGGAGATGGTGACGTCGTGGCCGGTCTGCCTTAGCAGATTTTCATCGTGTGACACCACCACGTGTCCATCGTTCGTCAGGTGGCAGTCCATCTCCAGCATGTGTGTGCCTTGCTCCACCGCACTGCAGACAGATGTAGGAAAGATAAAAAGTGAGAACACATGTATTTATTAGCTGTGCAGAGAGAGAACTTTTCTCCACTTCTGCTCCTCCAGCTCTCGTGGAACCAGTGTTAAACAATTAATACAGTTCAGTGTTGCATACTTACTATTCTTTCATGAAGCAGTTCTTGTTCTTCTTGCTCAAATATTGCACAGCCTATCTTAAATACTGATTCACATTTTAGCTGTTGTTATACTGGTGATCTGATCTGAGAACTGCAGATTAATTTGGTTCTCTCAATCTTGTACTGACAAAGGCAGTTTAGATGTCCAAGTATTGTGTTAAAGGTGTGTGTAGGATTTAGTGGCATCTAGCTGAAGTTTGAGGTTGCAACTAACTGAACACCACTCGCATCTGTATTTGACGACCTGGGAATAAGACGGATGTGAAATGTGTAGCAGACTTCCTGTAGATAGAAACAGCTCATTCTAAGGTATTAACAACGAAATGATTCCTATATTTTCAGATGATTATACACTAATTAAAATATACCTATGAATATTATATATATATATATATATATATATATATATATATATTTTTTTTTTAACACCCTGGACCTTTAAATCTAAAATCTCACAGGGACAATTTATTAGACAGCGTCCGAGGTGTGCAAGTGGAAACATGCTTAATCCAAGATGCCTCACCTAATCCCTCTTTTATCTTATATACTGCAAGACATTTTATGAGACTGGATCATCATAGAAACATAGAAATAAAAGATGGAATCAGAGTAATTGGTGCTCAGTTGGACACATGAACTGATTTCACTGCCAATCAACATATCAACAGCCCTAAGCAAAATGAGCTATCGTGCTTGCTTGTAAAGAGATAACGGAAGAGATATTTATTGGTTATAATGCTTTTGTAAATAATTCCTAGTGGTTGACCCTTAACCCCTATAAGGTTAGAGATATGTTATACTATAGACTAAATCTTTGTAGTTCAGCCACAATCAGTTTTTACTGACTTTATTTGTCAGTTATGAGTCCATATTTCAGCTGGCTGCTGACCTCTTGAGTTTGGTACTCACTTTGTGAACGCCTCCATCGTGCTTTCTATCCTCTCTCCACATCCTGACAACAGACAGAAGAGTTAGAGTTGATGATGGCTGCAGAGGAAAAAGAAACCACACCTGGCTAACCCCTTTCTGAGAAAATTGCATCACTGCCTCTACTGTAGCTGTGCAGGAAACAGTGAATGACAAAACCTCTGATCAGCTCCCTCACTCTAGCCACATTATTAAAACCTCCAGATGTTGCAAGAGACACACTTAGTCACTGAAACAATGAGGTTATCAATCGGATATCTGCATTCTCTTTTCAACGTGCTCGCTGCAGTGTCATTTTCTGCAAGTCAATGAAAGGATTGAAAGAAAGAAAGTAAAATAAAATGTAATTTATCACCTTCACCTTCTAATCAAACATCTGCACACTCATCATCACACACATTATAGGAAAGTGTAGATTCTTTAACCCCAAATGAAAAAATCAGCCCTTAAAATGTGGAAAAGTGATACAAAAACACTTAAATAGCAAACATCCTTCCATCTTTCTCCTTGGGTACTTCCCAGCTGTCCATATCCAGCTGTTTGGACTGCACATCATTATCTGGACATACCCTTCTCTCCTGACACACCACCAGTTGCCCCCTTACCTCCTCTGTGTGAGATGTGTGTGCAGTAAAAGGCTGTGCGTTTCCTCCTGTGGAGAATGAGTGGGTTCTTCAGCAGGTACACCGAGGTGAGAGCGTATCCACCCAGAGCTGGGAGGATGAAGTACAGAAAACTGCTCATCCTTCCCTATAAATATGTCCAGCTCCTGTCTCTGCAATGTCCAACCACAAAAACAGTGATCAAACAAAACTGATAGCGTCCTTGTTCAGCAAAAAGTAATAATCTGTTTATAAAACTCTGCAACAATCCCCCTTTGTGTTTCTAAGGACAAGTGAACAGATTCAAAAGCTGAAACAATCTACTCTCTGTCTTCCTGGGAAGGTAATAAAAAACTGGACAGACAGGTAAGACCGAAAAAGTTCTCCTTCTTGCTAAATCTTAGTCAACGCACCCGAAACCTTCAGAGCTGTAAAACTCTGTTAATGAAGCACCAGCTCGTAACCCAGAGCTCAACTCACCTCTCACTCACTGGCCTCTCCCCTGCCTGTGGCAATACTATTTCACTCTCTTCACTTTTGTTAAGCTAGGATATAGGTGGCTTTGTGTGTGCGTGTCATACCTGGGCACCTTTCTAGGATTTCTTTTATTCTGCTTTATTGTTCGGAGGATGAAGTTTGTTCACCAGTATTGTATGACACATAAGATATAGGACACTAAATAAGCATCACATTATAAATCACAGGTAGAACCTAATTAGGAAAATAAGCAGTTTACCTCTCCAGATTTAATATAATGTTGTGGTAGCTGATGGCTGGGCTGGTGAAAGACAAAGACATCACTGGGAGTGTGGCAGGTTTCTTAGCCTGTGTGTATTTGACAAAGGGGTTGTGGTGTGTGGAGATATGTAAACTCAACTCTGACCCACAAGGCCAGAAATATGAAAACAATCACATGTCTAGAGGCACGCATGCTCTCTACATATACAGTACAAAGTCAGCAGTGTGGTACTGTATTGTTCAGCTTCAATAGCAAAGCTGGAATGTGACAAACAATAGTGCAAGAGGCCGAGCCCCCACTGCGGTGTTACAACAAGCATGGTTTTCACCAGAAGAGAGAAATCTATTCACGGCAGTGTGAGGTGACTTTCCAGCATTTTCCCACTTTTGCAGGGGTCTCCTTTTGACACACTGTGTGAGCAAATCCTTGTCATGTTGACTGAGATCAGATTTGACGACTTTTCTGTTTTCCTGCGGTCATCCCTGTTTTCAGTTTCCAATCAAAGACTCTGGGAATGCCTGGGACGGAGGGGGAAGCCATGCTCAGACATGTTATGAAGTCATATGGGAAAGCTGTATAGCAGGAAAAACAAGTTCATGGCAAGATGCCGTACCGTTAATTGTACGTGCATTCCCATGACTCTGAGGCCTAAAGTTTCTGGGCCTGTTTCAGATTTATATTTCAGACTGGTTTGTAGAGTTACGCCAATCTTAATTTTGCTCTGAAATTAGTCTACTAAAATAACTTATTTTAAGCCTAAAGTTGGCCAGCTTACCCCAGAACTAAAAACCACGTTTCCATGGAAACAATCACTGCAGAGCAGTGTCCATGATGACATTGTCAGGCATTTTCATTTGGAAACCTGATTGTGATGACACATTAAGAAGCCACAGCTCTACTGGCCTGAGATTTTATTCTACTGTGAGGTTGTTAGTGACTGTAAACGTTTTCAAAAAGGATACTAGTAAAGTTGGAGCTTCGTATTAAATATTTTACTAAGAAATAACATTGATAAATAGCTTCCATTTGTAAATCCAAATTCTACAGCCATAGATGGATTTACAGACGATGGTCACCTCGACCGCTGCATGGAAAAAAGGCCCCGAACCCCTCCTACACTGGAGCAAGACACTAAGAGACACTAGTAGAGACACTAAAACTACATTACTTTGTGGTTTTGCGCCTCTTTGTAGTCACTTTGTATCATTGAGTTTAAAAAAAAACCACACAGGTTTGTAGTGGTTTGAATGACTTTCCACCAAGAAATGTTTATTGTTTCTCTTACTTCAGCAGTAAGGGCACTGGGGGGCCTGTGCCACCCCTCTGGTTCTGCCTCTTAGAGTGAGCAGAGCTGAGCGGTTTGATGCAGCTGTCCAGTCAGCCATATGAGTTAATGAGGAAAACAATTCTCAGCAAATTAGTCCTACTTATGACTACTTCGCCAAGAACAGACGGCTTTGTGTGTCTATCTGAAATCTGACTATAAGTTAGATCAAAGATATAGCCAAGACTGGGCCCTGGAGTTCAATGACACAATGTAAAAGATTCTGAAAATGCAAAAGAAGGAAAAACAAAAAACCACAAACAGGTGCAACAGTATCAGGAAATTTTATTTAATTATATGTATATAATTCTGTTTCTTTGTTAATCGTTTAATTCATAATACCCATAGAATATACAGACTATAACCCTCAATAACTCATATCTCTTTGACAATCTACTTATATCTTCTTTTAAAATAATTCCTTATAAGATCTTGGAGGGGAAATCAAAGAAAAAAAAAAAAAAAAAAAAAAAAAAAAAAGCTGTCAGAAAGATTGAAAACACTGCCGATAATAATCACGCTCGTAAGAGAAATGAGGAAGAAAGAAAATACAAATAAAAACATCCTAATAATTAAAAAATGATACAACTTTAACTCCCTTTTATGTAAAAAAAAAAAAGAAAGAAAGAAAATACAACAACTCACCAATATAACAACAATAGCAATAATAAGAACAGCCATTTAAAAACAACAATATCCGGAAACAGGCCTTGTGACAGACAAGCCTTTAGACTCGTCGATACTGTGTGAATGTATATGGTGTGTTTAAGTGCAACTTTTCACAAACACACAGAAACACTCCTCGAAAAGAGAGAGGAGTGTGTGTGTGTGTGTGTGTGTGTGTGTGTGTGTGTGTGTGTGTGTGTGTGTGTGTGTGTGTGAGAGAGAAAGTGTGTCAGGAGGATTGCAAAATGTGGTCCTCTTGGTTCGTTCCTGTGGTCACCCAGTGAGATGTTTGGTCTGGTGGCAGGTCGGAGAAGAAGAAAAATATGAGAAGAAAAAGCAAGCAGGGCCTGGTTGACTGCTGACCAAATATACTGTACATATGAAATGCATACAAAATATCTGTGTGACTGTTTTTGTGTCTCACAGATGTAAAAGCACAGGTAACTGCAGGGAGAGGGTCCAAACTGTGAGGAAACGATACACACTTCCAAAACACGCACACAGACACGCACACGCACCCGCACCCCACACACACACACACACACACACACACACATATACAGGACAAAGAGTCTTGGCTTTATGTTACTGAGGAGCAGATACACAAACACTTGTACAAAGACTTAAATTACTGCAGACGATCCATAAGTCTCAACACGTCACACGCACAGCAGGCGAAACTTAAAGCTGAACAAGGGAGGATGCAAGACAGGGAGGCAACCAACCAAAATAACAACCTCGAAGGGGGGGGAGAGAGAGAGAGAGAAAGAGAGAGAGAGCGTGGCTGGAAAGACAAAGTGCAGGCGTGCTGATTGAGTTATGTGATTGGAGTCAGTTTCCTGCTTGTATGACCATCCATGATCTAAGATCCAGGCGAAAAGGGGGCAATGGTTTTCTGAGGAGGAAAGTGGCAGCAAAGTCAGTCCCACTGCGCACACAGAAGCACACAGAGAGGGAGGAGGATGAGGAGGAGGAGGGGGGAGGCAGCCCTTTTTGAGTAAAGCGTGGTGAGAGTCGGGAAGGTTTTTAAAAAAAAAAAAAAAAAAAGGATGAATATCACCACATGCACCAAAAAGCCTCACACCGATCCCAGAGTGCTGGCTATGGCTTCTGAGAAAACAGCCTATGGCGTGGCTCGAGCTCGAGCCCGAGACGTAAAACAAAACCAATGACTTCTGCTGACGAGAGGGCGAGGCTGGCGAGCACTGTAGATCTTGAGTCTATCAGCATCACAGGCCTGCCCTGACAGAGAGAGAGGGTCCAGTGCATGTGTTGGTCCATTTCTTTGGGGGGGGGGGGGGTCTCCTCTACTGGTCCCAGTGCAACGGGCCAAAAATTAGTGCAGACTGGGCTGGTGACTGAGCTGCTGGACCCGCGGGTGGGTGGGTGGGGGTGGGGGGGCTCCAACAGGCAGCAATTAGTACAGTCACATCCAGAACAAAGGGAGGAGGCAGCAGACACCAACAAGTGACAGGAACAGTGATCACAGAAATAAACAAACATGCGCACACACACACTCAAAGAAACACGAACGGCCGTCTCTTGAGAATGGAGTGCAATCTGTAGCACTAAAATCACCCACATAGAAGAATATACATCCAGCATGTTAACAGGAGAGCCAGGAAAACACACAGGCAAAGGGGGAGAGGGGGAACAGGAGCGCAAAAAAGAAAGAGAGGGGCAAACTGGGATATAAACTGTACAACCATGAAGGGATGATGGTTGCTTGGCTGTGCACAGAGCTGTACAGCACTATGACAATCCTGGGTTGGACTATTTCCTGCCATGATCATGCCATATCGAAGTTCATAATTAAAAGTTTCTGACTAATATAGCATTCATATCCACTTCCCAGTCATAGTTACGACTGTGAAACGTTCTAAAATAGCAGATATATCTGAGTAGGCACTTACTAATACAGACGTGCCTGAAAACAAAGCAAATATGCCTCACATCAGCCAAAACCGGCATTCAATGGAATTAAACCTAACTCTGATGGATATGGTGTTACATTGTCAGTGTACAGTGTTTCAATCCTCACACCACCAACTCTTTACAACCATCATAAAAACCTTTTTCCATACCCATATGACGTGAATGCGGCATTTATCAGCAGCATGTACAGTTCTCTCAGTAGTTGTAAAAAGAGGAGCTGTTCGTGTAAGAGGTCGCAGCCGGGGAACACCAAAGCTGCAGCGACAGGACTCCTCCAAGTTCAGGCCGTTTACATTCAGCACTCACATCAATGAGCCAAAAAGATCGTGTTCTGAAAATGCTTTGTTGAATAGTGCATTTGCTCTTCTGTAGACTGCATTCAAGTATGGCCACTTTGAATAAATTAAGATTTATTGTTTTTTTTTAAGAATCGGGTCTGTCGCTGTCAGATAGGTCCCCAGCCTGCGTCTGCCTACTTCATACAGCCATCCTGGGTCAAACAGTAGCAGACAGCAACGTGGTACAAAAACAGCACGGTGGGATGGAAAGGCCGATGTCAACCGGGCCCCATTTTCCAGAATACTGTACATGTTCACTAAACGCTGCTCTAGAAATTCAGGGTCAAGAGGAGCTGAGGAAAGATAAGAAGGCTTCAGTGATGTTGTAAGACAAGCAGTTCACCACTCAGCTGCTGTGTATTTGTAACAGAAATGCAATTTAGTATAAGAGCGTAATGTTGACACTGGATTTGCTTTTTGATGTTGGTTGTATTTCATGGGAAAAAAAAGTCATGTTGGGATGCCAAATGTGGATGATACAGTAATGTTATACCAGTGTCTCACATCAGTATTGTGGCAGTATTCGCCCTTTGTCAAACTATAAAACTTACATTAAGTCAGGTAGTTTCTGACCGTGAAGTACCGTGAATGTTCTGGAAAATGGGGCTTAGGTATCACTGCTGTAATATCCAAATGAACACACAATTATAGAAACTATATTTTATGCCGTTTGATGCTATTCGCTTTGTTCCAATCACGTAGCGCCTCCTAAATATAACCAACTTTCCACAAAATGAAGGGAGAGTTCAGTTCGTCTGCCCTTGGTAAAGGTTATAGGTCAAGAAATGTGTTTACGGTACAATTCAAAACTACGACAGATCTTCCTTAGTTGCTCCCCAGCCAAGATTCTCGCATCGCTCTGCCACTTTGGTTAATTTTAGGAATGCATGCATTCATATGAACATCATACACAGTTTTTTTTTTTTTTTTTTTGAAAAAAAAAAAGAAAAAGCAACAACAATGAAATCTATAAACCTGCCAACATGCCAGTAAAAACATTGAATGTTTGTCTCAAAATCAAGTTTCCAAAAAAAAAAAAAAAAACATGACTAGCAAATATAAACCTCAAAACATACAAATACGACTCTGAACTGATCTGAAAACACGCGAACAACGGTGACAACTGTGACAAGCACACTTAAAAAGAAAAAACAAAACAAAACAAAAAAAAAAAAAAAAGCTTTTATATTTTTGTATATACATACACACACCCTATTAGCATCCCCGTTCTTTTAGCCCTCGATTTTTCCCGGTTGTAATTTACATGGAGCAAGACAAGAGAGTTATGGTGTTGGTTAATACAGTATTATGAGTTTATATGAGAGGGAGCGACAGAAAGGAGAGACAGGAGAGAGCTCAGACAGACAGATCAGCGACAGGTGCGGGAGAGGACAACAAAAGGGTTTGATGGGGACGGGAGAGGAGAGGAACGGTGAGTTACTGGAGATGAGACAGGATGAGGAAGGACGCTGAACGGGAAAACGAGAAAACTAAATGTGAGGTGAGAGGAGGGAGAGTCCAACATGGACAAAACTGAAACAGTATGAGTACGCCAGACCCTACCACCCCACCCAACCACAGAAATTAAAGTTAAACTTAGCTCTCTTGCAGTAGAAATGGAAAGATAAGCAGTTAAATGTTCATATTTCTTATTTTCTCTTTTTGTTGGTTTTCTTGAAGATGCATTTTTCTTTTGTTTTAGCATGTCGTTTGGGGTCTTCTTGTTCCAAGCCTCTGGGTGGCTTTGTCAATCTTTAGGGCTGAAAGGAAAAAGAAAAGCACTTAGGTCCACTTTGAAAACTTCCATTACTTCCTGCAGGATGAGATCTAACTCACCACAGCACACTGTGACTGTAATGGACCGCTCATGTTGCATTAAAGAACTGCAGAAAGCAGCCAAGAAATGTGTTTTCTGAAAAGTATTTTTGCTAAATCTAACAGACATGAACAACTGATAGTTAAGCAATTAACTCCAATCTTTGTTTTACTCCAAATAAACTGTTGTAAAGTGGTGGAGGAGATGGTCAACATTTAAAACTGAAAGATGGACGTCTGTGTGGTCATCTAAAGTAAAATGTCTAATTTAAGACCACAGGTTCACTTTCAGAGTCCATTTATAGACCAATGCCTTCACTGGGTATAAACCACTAAACCACATATGCACTCATGACTCTGTAGCTGACGATTTGTCTTCCTAATAAAAGGCCTGTCCTCCACTGTATTCAGCAGGCTGTCCTTGTCGAGTTCAGGAGCGTTGTTGTAGGTTGTATTTTGGAAATGGCTGATTCACACAACAGATCAGAACACCATTATATCCCAACCCAGTCCTCAACTGTCTGATAACAACAATCCACAGTCACCAGTTTTTCCATATTTCTCCAACTCTGGGAGCCGCGTATGTACATTTACTATTGTCTTTTACCTATGTAACAGCAAACAGGGTCACTGGTGGGTGGAAGTTTGAATGAATGTATGTATGCCATTTGTTCCACTGACATCTAGTGGTCTCCAATCTCAAACAATCCTACTCAGAGCTTAGCAGGTTAAAGAAAAAAAATCAGACAAGGGATGAAATGGCTCTGAATGCAGCTTTTTGACATAAATTGATATGTAGTAGTGGTTGATTATTGACTGGTGTTGCCGTTTGTTAAAGTTATTTAACTTGTTGCTTATTTGCATAAATCCCCCCCCCACATTTAAATTTAAATGTGTTAAGACTACATAGACTAGAGTTTAAAACCAAGAAAATTTGCTTGGTCTGCAGCTGCATGAGAATGTGTGATGGGCAAATACTGAAGACATAAAGCTGAAAATCACATTGGTTCTTTTAACTTTCCTTTCCACAGAGCTGGCCAAAGAGCTCGGCTGAAAAAAAATAGATGATGACATAATAAACCAAATAGTATTTGCCAGGAAAAGCGAAGGGAATATCTTTTAATATAGATTTTCTGTGTTCAGTTGGCGACCTATACTAGAACCCTGTGTTGCTGTGATTGTGTGCGTTTGGGTGCGAGTTAAACAGCCTTTTCAGGTACCTGCATGTCTCAGGAGCCCTGGTAGGTTTCCTGGAAACGAGCGGTTTCGTCGTAGATCAGTTCCTTCAGCTTCTCCTTGGGAAGGTCATCCAGTTCCATGGAGAAAGTGAAGGGCTCCTCTGCTACTGGCTACACACAAACATACATAGTACGAAAAGCTGGAGCACCATTTCCTTCAAATTTAGCTTTAAAAATAAAGTCTTGGTGTAAGTAGAAGAGGCAGCTGCAGCTTATGATCTGAAGGCAGTAGTTTGAAAAAAACTGTTAGGCTACTAGTACTGCTGCCAAGTGGGTTATGTAGCCTGAACAGCGCAGTACAATGTTTAAAATGTGATCAGAACACACAGTTCTGTTCAAGTGCAATCCAATGGAAGCTTATTTCCATGCAACAGCCCTGGTTAAAACCATCCACAACATTGATTTCTACAGTACAGTACATTAACTGAGGCCCCGTCTCTGCTGACGTAAACTGAGATTGTGATTAGCGATTACATTCTTTAACCTCTCTCAAGCTGATCCGTGGAGCAACTTAATACTAATTGCATACCAAACACAGCTAAGAGGCTTCCTGGCACAAAGCAGAAAAGCTTGCAATTAAATCTTGGCTCATGGTTGAAACAATGACAAACAGGTTTGAATGAATAAGCCCTTCTGCCTCCAACATTTGTGCAAATCTGCTACTGGTCTTCAGTTTGTGCAAATTCCTCTGTAGTACAGTTTTAATATTCACAGCTTTCTTACAGTTCGTACACCTTTAGCCTTTAGAAAACCTAGATTCTTTCCTGGACACAGTTCTACACTGGGATTTATGTCGTTTCTTTTCACCTCTTACAACTTGGCATCTTGTGATTGTTGTTATTTCAGCAATAGCAGACTAATTGATAAGATCAGCTTGAAATGTTGGCTTCATCTGCACGTACCTCATCTGTGGGATCGTAGTACTGCTCCAGGTAAGGATGGGCCAGGGCCTCCTCGACACTGATGCGCTTGATGGGGTTAAAGGTCAACATGCGGCCAAGCAGGTCCAGAGCTGCGTTAGATTAAAGAGCTTTAGTTAGTTCAGTCACAACACTGGGAAGTAAAATGAAACACAACTGCTCTTACAGTGGTTATTTTATTTCACCCTCAAAGTGTTTATTGGACCAAAAACAACCACAGAGATACAGGATTTTTAGACAAATATTTCAATATCTGAACTATATTTTCACAATTATTATATATTTTTAATTCAATGTATTGTTGGATTTTGTTTTTTCAAATTATACATTTTAATATTCAAATTAAAGTTAGAGGAATATTCAGTATGATTTAACTGTCACACAAAGCTAAATAACCATCATAGATTGTGATAATTTTAAATACATTTCAGTGTTATTTTCCTCCCTTACACTCCAGGTTTACAATAGAGTATGCGCTGCCATACCTTTTGAGTCCACCTTGACGAAGAGCTTCTCCCAGGGGACCTTGGGTTTGTCGGGCAGGGACTGCAGGTAGTTCCTTGCCTTCATGTTGATAATGCAGTTCAGATCTTCTTGAGATGGAGAGCCAAGGACACCTGCACAGAGAGGAGGGTCAGGGACATCTTTCAATATGGCTGCTCCGACTCATCACAACAAGCGTCACTCACCAGCTCAATCACATCAAAGTGGAACATCTGACTTACTTCACCTTCTCTGTTAGACAGAATCTATGCAAGTTTAGTTTGTAAACTAAACTCAGCTAGACTTGAGTGAAGAGTACTGTAAAGGTTATGTGTGTAACATGCTGAGTGGACGCCAACGTGAATGATTGTCTTGCAAATAAAAATGACTCTGAACTCTTCATAGTGTAGGTATTTTGTGTAAATTAGTTATAGAAACCTTTTTTTCTTACCCAGTATGTGGTTGAGCTGGTCCAAATAGTGTTTCCCAGGAAAGATGGGTCTGTTGGACAACATCTCAGCCAGGATGCAGCCCACTGACCAGATGTCAATGGACTTAGAATAGCCCTGAGACACAAACACACATGTAGTACATACAGTCAACAGACTAAGAAGCTATCCAGTCCAACAGAGAATCCACATCAGTACACACACATACCTTTGAGTTGAGCATGATTTCTGGAGCCCTGTACCAGCGTGTAGCCACATACTCAGTCAGGAAACCGGTGTGGTCATGCTCGGGGTCGGCTATCCGTGCCAGGCCAAAGTCACAGATCTGAGGGGGACACAGAGGGTCAGAAACACACGTCAAGCCCCACACTCTCAGACATTTCAAACTGAACTACTGACAAGAATTTGAGAGGGGGTACGGCTGTAAATGTTTTAAGCTTTTCTTCAAACGAAAGGAGCCATTTCAGATGGCTCTAAAGCTCTACCAGTTCCCACTTTAATGCTTCGCTCAAGCTTTATTTTCCCTACCCTACTTTCTGATCTTCAGGCCCTGTTGTGACATGTTCAAAAATGATGTTTATTTTACTGGAAAGCTGGGAGCAGGCGGTTGAGTTTCTTGCAATGTACTTCAATTTGTGGTTTCCTACATTTCCCAGAATACATTTCAGCAACCCTTAATGACTTTATCAAGCGTAAAGCTCTTCCATTTAACTTATATCCCTTGGCTACATTTTCTGCAATACAAAAAGGAGTGTATGTAAATTATTATCATTATGTTACAGTTCAGTTTGGAAATATGAATGTTAACACTAAAAAGGCTGCTGCTGCTGCCAGCTTACTGCCACGCCTTTTACACATTGAACATCCTGCAGCTGTATTGTGTTATGGACAAAGCCTTACAATAGATACCTTTGCTCTATGATTCTAAGGTACTGACACCTAACTGGTTTGCCAAATTAAGAAATATACAAACTTGAACAAAGTGGAATCAAGAAAAGGAAATTATTCTTCATTGTCCCAACACAACGTCATTAATATGAAGTAGTATCTTCAATCAAAATTTTATTCAGTGCTCGGTGCACAGTGGGTAGGCCTAAAGCAGATTAAACCTAGATTAAAAATAGTAAAGCCAATTCCATTTAGATGAGATATAATACACACTCAGACCAACAGGACACTAGAGGAGTGACGGCCAGGGCTCACATGTGTTATAGTGAAACTCTTAGAAGGCATAACGACGACATTGTTCAAGGCTTTAAGTCTGCATCATTCAAAGAGAAACTGACTGAGCCTTGGCAAACAAGGAAGGGCTGAGGTCAATCCATCTCCCGTATACTACATTCCTGAGATTCCTTTTCAGTATCATTGAGAGCTGGTGTAAGTTGCTAATGACACCAATGTTTAAACAAACATACAAAAAAAAAGGAACCATTTGATACGGAAACAAAGGCCTCTCTTCTAACTTTGGTCACCCTAAAATGAGCCTGACACTAACTTTAAAAATACATATGCCATATATATCTAGTGCACTGTACTGTAAGTGTATGTGTGAAATCTTCCATAACCTAAAATAACAAACCTAAACACCAAAATGACCCTCCTTTTCCTGCTGTGGGGTATCAACTGCTGATGAAATAGATATATTAGCCTAGCTGTCACCACAGACTGTAAAAAACATGGACGTAGTCTCTGCAACGTCACCCAGAGGTTTCTGAAGAGCCGCTGTGACGCTCAGTGTGGTGGCTGGCTAGTCCAAAAACGGGTAAATATGTGGAGCGCGGGTGGAGCTGAGGTGACTGAATTAGGCCTGGTTACTGATTATGAATAACTTTAAACCTTAATATATTTAAACAGGTAAAAATGTAACCCCTGTATAGTTGTCATGAAGCATACGTACAGAGAGTGAACCTGTTTTTTGTACCATGCAGTAAACATGTGTTTAAATAAAGTAATAAAGTTCAATTCAGTCTGCTTGCTGGTTGTTCTGACACATTCAGTATCATTACCTCTTTCTGTGATATCATTTTTAACAGGCAGCAGCTAAAATATCATTTTGTAAATGATTCAATTAATATCATAAACCGTAAAAATCCTAAAACAAGACTCTTGCTTTCAGGGTATTATACACTAATAAAAACACACCTTCAAATATTATATTTCATTTCTGCCAATAGAGCCTCCTAAATGTTACACACTGGACCTTGAAAGCCACAGAGGTTGCCACTTGGCTTCCCCCAGTGGTGATGATGGGGTGTGCCTGCCTGCGCGTGTGTGTGTGTGTGTGTGTGTGTGTGTGTGTGTGCTGACCTTGAGGTCACAGGTGGTGTTGATGAGCAGGTTGGAGGGCTTGAGGTCACGGTGCAACACGTTGGCTGAGTGAATGTACTTGAGGCCTCTCAGGATCTGGTAGAGGAAATAGCAGACGTGGTCGTTGCTCAGCCTCTGGCTCTTCAGCAGCTTGTACAGGTCCGTCTCCATCAGAGTCTGCACAATGTAGCTGGAGGGACGCACGGGGTCAAGGAGGACAACGACAGGGCCGACAGTATCCACTCACACCAGGAGAAACACAAAGGACTGCTCTGAAAGGGAGTTCTAACTTGTTCATGTTCGATGTGCGCTCTCTTGCACCAGCGGGGGTAGGAGACATCAGTCCTCAAGGGGGAGATATAGAGCTAATCAGTGCTTCTCCATGACAACAGTATATACATTTTCTACATCCTGGATTGACGGACATGTTAGGCTACAGCTAGGACGTTTGTCTCCTTAGTGTTGTTTAAATATAAGACCACCTACCAGCTGAGCTACATACAGAGTGGAAACACTAACTGCTGTTTGTGTCCCTGGATTTGGTTTCATCTGCCCTAATCAGGATTCATCACAAGTTAGCGACAACACAATCCAACAAAGTGGAGCAACTAAAGAGATCAAACAAGGAAACCAGACACAAACACAAGGACATCACACATTTTCTTTCCGTGTTTCAGCGGACAAAGCGGCTTTTCACAGAGAAAGCAGCAACTCAGCAGCAACTCACTGACCCGCCGTGCCTACAGTCTGTTGCTAGCTGCTCTGCAAATGGTCACTACTGTTGCTCAGGCTGAATAATGTGGGTAAATAACAGCAGACATCTTCCAGAAAACACTCGTCAAAATACTCAAATAATCATCCAGGTGTTAGAAAAACAGGTTCAACATTTTTGCCTCCACATCACAGAGCAACATTCTTAACTTTAGAATATGGTAACATATTATTAATTATAATTACTTTAAATGTCATTAACTTTGGTTCCAACATCTATTAGACAATGATATTAAACTACAGAAATCTCAATGTATAAACTGCAATTTAGGATTATTATCAGTAAACTCCAGCTATGCAAAACATGAACTGTTTATATTTTACATTCATTCTTTTAGTTTAGCTCATCTAGCCATAAATGTCAAAGGCAACATTATTGTCTCAAAGTATTTCTCCTTACTATTAACTGTTCCACTGAACTCTTGGGCAAGCAGCATTATTGAAGCTCTATGGTGAGAGTAAAGAGAGTGAAAGCTGGATTAAGAACTCCTAGTTTATTTGTTTGGTTTAAACTCACCACAAGGACACTCTGCCTCAATCATTTTTAAGTCAGATGCAGTCACAGCAGAATACTCAAAAGCGGACTCCTAATATGAAGAAAGCTGCTGCAAAAAAGTGACTGCACATCCTTTTCCTACAGGTTATTGAATGCAACATGACCAGATGTGTAAATTAGCACCTTTTGAGTGCAACACTTATAATTATTGTGTGTTTTTTAATCAAAGAACTTCAGAGGATTCGTGAAAAAAAATCACTTTTGTTTAAAAACCCTGATTTGGAGCGTACACGACAGTATTACAGCAACTGCGCTGCGTTCTCTCTTCTCAGTAGTGGTGACTTGACCTGACACAACGAGTGAAATGCTTTTAACTGTCAAAAGCTACGGCTGGAAAACCTTTTTATGAAAATCAGTCTAATCCTGTATAATAGTTTGATTTAATCCAGGTTTGGGGAATAAATGAGACCCTTCCTGTAAAGCATTAAAGGATACACATCCCTCATGTTGTCAAGGTGCCGTGCCCTGAGAATGTCGTTGATGCCGATGATATTCTCATGGTGGAAACGCAGCAGGATCTTGATTTCTCTCAGCGTGCGCTGGCAGTACGTCTGGTGCTCAAACGGGCTGATTTTCTTGATGGCTACGCGCGAGTTTGTCACGTTGTCCAGAGCGGAGCTGGATAAAGTGGATGTGGAAAGAAGCACAAAACAAGTCTCATATTACACACTGCACAATTCACACACAATGACGGTATCAGAAACTGGGCTAATGCTAAGCTCCAAAAAAAAGGGCGTTGCAGACTGCCGAGATGCACATGTGACACTTCTTTTTGCAGTAATATGTCGTGAAGTACTGTAGGTGTAGGCCGGAGTGTAGGTGCAGTGTCAGTGAGGTGTAGGTGTAGAGTAGATAGAGACCAGGCAGTGCTGAGAGCAGCTGTGAATGGTGTGTTTATGGGAGCCTTGAATCTACTGTAGTGTTTGGGGCCCAAATTATGAAACCCCATCAAACCCATGACTGATCGCTGATTGCTGATCGCCCTTTGTGGGGGAAAAAAAATCCTCCAAGCTAGATTTTCTTTTTTTTTTAATTTTTTTTTTTGTTACACACACACACACACACACACACACACACACACACACACACACACACACACACACACACACACACACACACACAGGGAACAGGAACAACAAGTTACATCACATCTTTCCTTTTGGTAAAAATGTATTCTCTTATTGCACAACACACTGAATAAACTGGGCATGTTAACACGCTCCTGAACCTTCTTCAATGGCTGAAATACAGAGACACACGCAGCACTGGATGGATGCAGTGGTTAAAAATCACACCTGTAAGAAAACATCTGTGCAGCTGGTTAATGATGAGCTGGTGTAAATCACACAATTAAACTCTAATTGGTTTTTATTCCACTCATAATGTTTACAAACACCAAATGCTGCAACAATGCAGTCACATGACCGAGAAGACACAAACAAAATAGCACTGGGCTGTCACACTGCTGTATGCAAACGGAAGGGATTGAAATGGATGTGTGGGCCCAGTTCTCATACTATGATCCACTTAGCACTGACACGCAGGACTGTCACATCTGATCGCGTCCACAGTTCAGCCTCGATGGCAATGACTAGGCATTGATGTCAAGTGCAACAGGGTTGCTTAACACGTCCACACAATGCTGTAGATCACATACAGCGATAACACGAGGAAAGGCCTCGCTACAACTGACAAATCCCTTATCCCTTATTCTCTGCAGCAGGCTCAATGTTTGGCCATCAGCGTTCATGTAGAGACTAATGACTCTGGGAGATTGATGCTGGTCATATAAAACGGCGATAGAGATAACGAGCTTCAGTTTGCGGTCAAATGCAGTCTGCAAAAGATTTCTCATCGGAGAACAAACAGCGCCCTGCGCAATCACTCCCAATCTTGTTTCCTGTATAGCTCATAGCCACGCCTGTAGCTTGTCAGCTAACCTGCTAACCACAACATGGACTGAGGTTCAACAATGTCTAAAAACGTCGGGCTGCTGTTTTAATCACAAAACATCGTGACTGCGCTCACATTTACTGCCCGCCGCTCGTTGAATACAACAGCTAAGGTTAGCTGGCTGGTCGTATTGGCTAACAAACAGCTTATGTTAGCTATATGGAGACGATGGCCCAACAGAGAGCGGACCGACGGGCACAACTCACCAAACCATCCCGTACGCCCCCTCCCCGATGTAAGACAGGTTCGTGTAGCGGGGCCCCACATCAAACATCTGGCCCTTCACGGACTCGCACCCGGTCTTGGGTCCCGCTGCGGGCGCTCCTTCCTGCGCAACCGTGCCAGCCGCCCCGGCAGCAGCAGCGCTGTTGGAGCCTGCGGCCCCGACCGCTGCGGTGCTGCTCGAATCCGCCATTCTTCCTCTCCGAACCGCTCCTGCTCTGTCAGTGTGTGTCACCGAGGGACCGCCGCCGCTCTCAGCAAGGTCTACCGTGAGTCCGAGGCTTGAACCGAGCGGATTGTGTGATCGACGGAGCAGAGCGACTCGACCCGGGCCCTCTCTACTACTGAGGAGTAAATAGATTTCGTGCGCGAGCGCGGATTTGGTCTCAGCGCCGAGCGTAAATGCGCGTGCCAAACTACGGTAACACAGGTGCGTTAGATATGTGTACTAGGGTGACTTGTTTGGGCGGAGTCGCGTCAGTTGTCTACAGGCACCGCCCAGTCCTGTCCATTGTTACAGCGAAACAAGCGCAGTCTGTCAAATAAACACGCAGCAGCCGCGAGTGGGCGTGCCGAAATATGTTGCATGCTGCCTGTTAATAACGGAAATAATACACTTTATCATCAAATTGTTATTTTATCGTTATTTTTATGCGGTCATTATCCCCCCCCCGGACACCACCAGTGTTGTCTTATAAATGGCTGTGCACTCTCTGTGGCGCTCACTAACGTTATGTTCGCACTGTGCCCACAGGTGAGGCCTTTTTGTACTTTACTGTTATATCACCATTAACGTTATAAAAAGTCGAGGGATTAAACAAAGCGCCACATAAGTTATTAATATATTAACATATAGGGAGTTAATATCAAAATGAATACATGAATCATTTGTGTTTTCTTACAGATAACCGCCAGTCGCTGAAATAGTATCACCATGGAAACGAGTGCGACTGCTGTAACCACACCCCTTTGCAGACGTCACAGCGCTGGGCGGTGTACTTCCTGGTTACTTGGCGCTGCATGTTGTGGTTGTTGCTGTACATTTGATTTATTTCCCTCACGGAATGGTACAGTACCGTCTGCGACCAGACCTGATCGGCCGACTTCGTGTTACGCTCACTCTCCTCGGACTGCCGTATACCTTCTGTACCTCCGCTGTTGGGTAAGGACAGTAATGTTAGCTGTAAAATATGAACTAAAAGCTATGGCCAGTTTACGTTATATGACAGTTTCAGCTGTAAGCTAAAACTACAATCCAAAAGCAGACGTAGGTATGTGCTGCAGGAGCTATAAATGTCAAAGCCACTGACCACTGACATTATTAGCAGAGCTATAGTGTGATTGAAGTCAGTAATAGAGTAGACATCCATTAGCTATGATGTAAATGTACACTATATTAAGCTTTATTTCCATTGAATTGACTATCACATGGATATGAAATGTAATATCAAACAAAATTCAACAAATAATCATTCAGAGTTAGGTCTTCAAGTGAACCATTATTACTGTAGTCAACAGATGTGTATTGCAGTGTAACAGTAGCTTTCACCCTGTGGTCACGATATGCTCTGGTGACAATCAATTAAGTTTGTTTTCTTCCTGAACATATGTGTTGTCAGTGTGTGACAGAGGATTTAGGCTGTCATAACTTGAAGGGGTTTGAAATGGATGTATGTTTTTTAATAAGAGTGCATGTGAGGTGGTGCTGGGACCACGCTGCTGCAGGGAAGGCAGACCGAGACTTACTGGATTTCCATGTCTCATGTTTCCCTCCTTGCAGACCAGCTGTCTCCTGCTCACTGTCCCATCCTTTGACCAGAACCAGTCATACCACCAGACCCATCAGTACCAGTTGCTGTAACCACTTCGTGACTAGTGTGTGGACGATGCCATCCTCAGCGGCGCCTCATGTTCAGTCTAGATGTCCCGTGTATCCAGGGTCCAAAATCAAGCGTTTTCCCGTGCCTGATGACAAGGTGCACTGGAGCCAGGACTGGCCGCAATATAATCCAGTCAGCTACACTGACCCAGCAGTATTAAGGAAGCCAGCATGGGCGGATCCTGATATTGGGTGAGCAACACATACCTGACTGCATTGAGTCAAGGTCTGTGCTGTATGTTGAATGAGCTGTATCAGTTGACTTATATAGTCCAAAATATTTGTTATTTGGCTGTTGTGAGACATTCTGACTGTTGAAGATCAGTTGTACTTTATTCATGGCATTGTGATGACCTCTGCTTGTTTCGCAGCTCCTTCTCTCCACAGTTCAACACTGTGGATGGTGCTGTGGACCGGACGAGCTTTGACGGCAACTACAAAACGGAAAAGGGAAAGCCCCTGTAAGTTATCAAGTATCAGGAGAAATGGTTCCTACAGAGTTTCCCTGAAATGTAGATATCACCAGTCACTGTCAATGGGGTTGGTTTGTCAAAAACAGGTAGTTCACATGTGCATTTAGTCATTTTTAAGCATTCAAGGGTAGAAAGTAAACTCAAAAAGAAAGTGACCGCAACAAGAGTATATCAGCCAATGTATTTCTGCTAATGTGTTTGCAAATACTTTCCTAACTTCCTTCCTTACTTTGACATCTAGCTGTAGTTGCACAGAGCTGTTGTCCGGTATGATGATTCTCAGAAGGATCAGTAGTATAAGCAACTCTTTCACATTACCGGGATCTATTTCATGAAATGTTAATATCAAAGACATTACTTAATGAAGCTAATGCACAAACATGTCAGGATGACTGGTCCGGGAAGGCCTGTGAGCACTTGTTCTTGGTCTATAAAGCTCTATGTTTCTATGTTCTGTTGTGTTCATTTTGAGCTTTTAAAGTAATACTTTTAACACATTTTAAATAAATACATTTGTACATTTACTTTTGACTCATTTAGAAATCCTCATGGACGCACAGGGTTGACTGGCAGAGGTTTGCTGGGAAGATGGGGACCCAATCACGCAGCAGATCCCATCGTCAGCAGGTAACTTTTTCTTTACTTTACAAATCTGTATTATCCAGATACTTGCTAACTGTTGTTCATCATTGAATTTAGTTACAAACTTTTTTTTATTAACACTCTCTGCTAGATGGAAAGTAGATGCGCAAAGAGCAAAGATGCATCACTCAGTTTCCAAGCTGCCTATCCTGCAGTTTGTGTCCATCAAGAGGAGAGACTGTGGGGAGTGGGCCATTCCTGGGGTCAGTGGCTTATACATTTCTTTTTCAAGCTTTATTGATGATGTGTGTTGTTATTCACTTTGTGTCTCCAGCTTGTGCTACCTTGCTTTTCATTAAAACACAGCTATTCAAGATTACTCAGGGACAACAAAAATGAATCCACAGCTAAGACAGTTTGAGTGGTTTTGGGTATGTTAGATGTTTCTGTGACTTGCTTGTTCATGTGTGTGTGTGTGTGTGTGTGCTTGTTTTGTAGGGGATGGTAGATCCAGGGGAGCACGTCTCTCTCACGCTGCAGCGGGAGTTCTCGGAAGAAGCATTGAACTCGTTGGCAGTCCCGCCATCAGAGAGAGCAAAAATCCATGAACGCATCACCAAACTCTTCAAATCGACAGGGTTTCAGGTCAGCAACTGACACCCGATCGCTTGCTTACTGTCACATTTTATTCAACAAGTGCCTCTCTGAGCAAAACTAATATCTCTTTTCTTCTTCAGGTCTTTAAAGGCTATGTGGATGATCCTAGAAACACTGACAATGCTTGGATGGAGACCGTCGCTGTCAACTACCATGATGAATCAGGTATCAGTAATTAGGAAGAATGTTTATTCTTTTCTTTTTGTAGTTCTTAAGGACTATAATAAGTCGCCATTTTGTCTCTGGAGACAACAGATAGCACGGTGTGTCGGATGGGTAATGACATATCTTTGTTGTCACTGCAGGCGACAGTGTGAGCGAGCTGCCGCTGCAAGCTGGCGATGACGCAGGACAGGTCCAGTGGGTTGATGTTGACTCGTCCTTCCCGCTCTATGCGAGTCATTCCGATTTCCTGAAGCTGGTTGCCAAAGAGAGGAAGGCCCACTGGTAACTAGGGACGAAAGACTCTATTCTGACATGACGATGAAGGAAACATTAAGAGCCACATTGCTCTCTGTTTACTGACAGTGCACTTAACCAATGTGATTCTTCCCTCACTAATTTAAACATAATAATCGTAGTTGTAATTATGAAAGCCTTATATGCACCTAGTTTGACACTTGTACGCATGTCCTCTGTACAACATACAGCAATATGACGTTTTAGACTGATAAAGAAGAACTTATGAAGTGAATGAACTAACAGGTTGAAAGCTTGGCTGCAGTTTTCATGAATAGAGCTTTTGACTCACTGCTTGGACAAAGCTCAACATGAGACCATTTTATAGTCTTGTGTTGAGCTTTGTCCAAGACGCTGCTGAATGGCACACCACGTTATTTTTGCTGGCAGAAATTATGCTAATGTATTCAATGTTAACAAGATCACATTAACCCACCGTGATCATGTGAGAACAAACACAATGAGCGGCTGATTATAACACGTACTACATTAATTTAAGAGTGAATGGGGGGATGGGGGCTACCAAAATGAAAAAGTGTAGACTCACTTTGATCTTTATATGCGAGTATAATATGAAGATGTGCTGGAGCTTCCCACACAGCCCACTGAATCAGAGCACAGACAGGCTGAAGCTAGAGGACGAACATGTTTTCAAGTGGTAACAGACGGTGGAAGCAAAGGCCATTTCACACTCAACAGCTTGCCTTACGAAACACATCAGTACGTGTCATCTCACTGCTGGGTATACTTTGTGATGAAGCCGGGATGGAGGGTCTCACATGAGATAGTTTGTATCTGTTAGGATTCAGGATGCAAACACTAACACATGGATGTTTCTGTCATCAACGGACAACCAAGTTTATATTAGTTTTAATAATGAGAGATAGCTGCATAATCCTGATGTTCATTACTTTGCAATAACAAAGAGTCTTCTTCTTAAGATGTGATCTGAACCTTCAGTATGCTATCTCCACCAGGGACTTACTGGAAAGGGAGATGATTGTTGCTGTAATTGGGTTTATTGAGTAGAAACCTCATACAAGAAAAACTTAGTTGAATTAGGTTCACAACAGGTCTAGGGTGCGCCACAAATCCTATCAGCCTTTTTTATTTAGCTGCGTGACGTGAAATTCATTTATATTAAGGTATGATACCAGCAGCTGTGTGTGGTGAGGATCTACTGTTCCCAGTTCTCCCAGCTCCACTAGAGCATTTACAGTAGGAGTACTAATATAATTTATTGTTGCAGGAAGGGAGAGTATTTCCCATCCACATTTCCCCAGTCGTTCTGACAACCTGCCCGTCACAAAACCATCTAACCTTTGCCTCCAGAGTTCTTATTAATGAGTGATATTGGCTTGTGATTATTGTAAGACAAAAATGAGTAGATGGTAGAATGAGACAGCTTTGTCACTTGGAGAAGTGAAACAAATTTGGTTTCAATATTATGATTGATGTTATACATGCAGCTTTGCTGATTGGATTTGTCTCTGTGTGGTATAATGTGAAAATGAACCCAGAGGTGTCCACTTACTAACCTTGCACTAAATTTCTGTGAAAGTGTCTGACACCAAAGAGATCTTGTGTTTTTTTCTTATTCATTAGACTTACTTGAAATTGTAAATGATCATATATTTTTGAGTGGATTTGTGTATTTTCTCATACAGCATGTGTATTCAAAAATGATTACGCAAAGCTGTAGATGTATAAAGTACTACAAAACCATTAAAAATTAAATGATTCGTTTTATGTCTTCTTTTTTTAACAAATTCCATTGACAAAGGGACAACTTTTAATGGGTAATATACTCTAATAATGATAATAATAATAAAAATTAATGATAATAATGATAATAATAATAATAATAATTAATGATAATAATGATAATAATAATAATAATGATGATAATAATAATAATAATAATAATGATATAATTATGGAAACATACTTTTAATTTCGAAAACAAACATTTGTTCATTGTCCACTGTGTTATTTTCGTATTATTAAGTTAAGTGTGTGGCTGAAGAAAAATCCCTGTCATGTGCTGCACATGTATGACACTACATTAATTCAACGGAAGAACTACATTACCCAAAAGCCTGTGCGACATAAGCCGCTCTAGCTGACGACGTGGCCGAGGTACGTTTCAACCCCGTGTTTCAGTAGACCGGGGCGATTCAAACAAGGCAAACCTGCTTCGTTAGCTAACGTTAGTTCAGAGAGTCGCTGACTTTGGATGCTTGAACAAGTCTCTCCAGAAGTTTAGTAACCACCACTGTCTAACAATGTCCGGGAAAATCAAGAACCGGAGCGCCGCAAACGCAGACTCGATAACCGGCGGTGTGTCCTGCGATGAGCGCATCTTGCGGGATTGTCATCATCTGTACACGGATCCCGACAGTGGTGAGTTGGCCTCCCTGGAAGTAGCCCCAACATTCACCTATCTGGTAATAAAGTTAAGTTAACCCGCCGTTTGCTGACCGGGGGTTAGCTAACTAACGTTAACTTGGTAAGGCGGCTAACTGTTAGCTAGCTGACGTTAACAGGCACAGATTGATCGATTCATTTGTCTGACGTGGAGCCAGTCAGCGTTGGTGCGAGCTACACTAGCAGCTTAGCTTTGTTAAGTTATTAAGGAATGATGAGTCACCGACTTTGTAATATACTTTTTAAGTAGTCCTGTAGCTGTTTAGCTCACTAGAGAAAGGGATTCTGGGAACCCATAAAATGGTGCAGCAATATTAAAAAATGCCATGCATGCTTTCTCAGTTTGTTTTAAAGAATAAATACTCCTACTGAAAGGTCTGAGGCCATTTGCTTGCACTTGACTCTGGCCGTCCAACAGGTGCCTCCACAGCAGCATGATGGCTTTATGTTTGTTAGATACACAGACCCTTGACTTTATTAAAAACCATTGAACCGGTTGTAAGGTATTTATCAGTGATTGTTTGGATCATGTTCTTGTCTTTGTCCAGGATTGATCTCCGTAGCCGAATCTGTTGGCGTGAAGTTGCTGCCGCCCAGGAAAAAGATCACTGTGCTGCTGATGGGCAACCACTCCGCTGGGAAAAGCTCCTTCATCAACTGGTAAGTTAAACTGGATTTAACATAGAGAGCAAGTCTGTCCATCCAACATCAGACGACTCAGTGATTAGAAAAACAATGCAACACAATGAAATACAAACAGCACGCAACAGAGAACTGCATGTTGAGAAGATATAACAGATATAACATGCAATATATAGGAATGTTTAGTCTATAAAATGCAGTCCATAGTGTATGAGTGAGTGTTTACTGTAATCTTTGTGTCAGCCAATATAAAGTATGAACCAGACTATTGATTTTAGTGAATGATATAGTTTTCATTGATTTTACTTTAGACAACTGACATAAATAAATATTTCTCCTCCACTGTGCACCACTAAATTGTTTTATCAGTAGTTTCAGTTTGTTATGCTTTGTTGTTGTCAGGTATGTTGAAGAGCACATCCAGCGCACCGGAGTGGCTATTGAGACGCAGGGCTTCAGCTTTGTTACAAGTGGACGCAAGAGAGAATCTCTTACAGTGAGTGCAACAGTACAGAAACAATAAGGTGTCATTTATTGTAAAATAGGTGTATATTTGGTATATTCCTCATGTTGCAGCATTGACTATTTTTCAGTTACAAGTTAAGTTCAAGTCATAATGCTAATGGCAGCTTTCCTTTTTAAGTCATTCCCCATGATAATGACTTATTACATTCACTTAAATTAGTTCCTCTCTAGTGATTTAAGTACATCTGGAGATTCTGATACCTGGTTCACAAACTCTCTCCGGCTGATCTGGTTCTTGTTTTCCTTTTAGGGAAATGCCACCCTCCATCTATATCCACACTTCAAGCCTCTGCAACACTTCAAAGGTGAGATTTCAGCTGCAGCCCCAATCCTTCCCAGTCACTGTAATGAAACTGCATCCCCTCAGGCGGCCGCAGCCCTGATCCCTTCCCACATTCCCAGTATTTTGATGGAGAGATTTGCTGCTTTGTGTGTCCATTTGAATGTTACTTGTACATAGTCTGTCTGCACTGATACAGCCATGAGGCCCACACTCACTGTTCTTGTGTTACTCAAACAAACATTCAGGTTTTTCTGCCGCAGTTTCCTTTACAACCAAATAGAGGATTTAATTTTATAGTTCAGCAAAATGTCTTATTTTAATGTTAAGTGTATCAGTATCAAACATTGTTCTACCTGTTGGGTCTCTTTGAATCGATTTCTAGGTGTTTCAGAGTACTTGAGCACAGAGATCTGCACATCGCGACAGAAACGGTTCAGCCTGGTGACATTTGTGGATTCGCCAGGGTTGGTGGATGGCGATATGAAGTATCCCTTTGATGTGGATGAAGTGATCTTGTGGCTGGGTGGGTTGCTAACTAACTGATCTTATCTGTTGTCGCACTGTAGTTATCAAGGGTCTCCTCCTTGTGGCAGCTGGTGTTGAGACACTGAGTTATTGTAAATGGTAGTGTTAAAAGCATTTTCTAATTTTGAAGAACTGGAACTAAAATAGCCTTGCTTTAGAGACATTTAGTTTCATGATCCATCATCTTCACCAGACTTTGCTTTCACACATGAAAGAATATAAACTTGGCTACTTAAGGGCCCTTTTAAAATCTTACTGGACGTGTGCGCTCCTGTATGCTATTAGTGAGCTTTTTCTAGCTGCTGCTTTTACCACTTCCTTTGCAAGCTAACCTCAATTGCCTCAAAGCGCATGGCTCAAGCTTGTGGATCATATTTCATTGGAATCATATTGCTACAGTATGATGAAACTAAATGTCTAAATAAGAACCATGTTTAAAAAAAAAGAGAGGTTGTTCACTGTGATATCACACTTCCATTAGCATACTTTTTAATACAATAACAATGTATTATTCAATAGATTTTGTGTAAAAGGTGTTCAGTCTGTTTATTAAATAAAACATAAAATAACCTTAGTCCTTCCCACTGTCACTCTCAGGTGATCTCTGTGACCTGATTCTGGTCTTCTTTGACCCCATGGGTCAGGCTCTGTGCAAGCGCACCCTCAACATTGTGGAGAGTCTGAATGACAAACACGGGGATCGACTGCGTTTTTACCTGAGCAAGGCTGACGAGGCTGGGGGGGAGTCGGACAGACAGGTATGCACAGCAACAGCTCTGTTTAAAAGCTTGATTCAGTTAAAGAAAAATGCATTATTGATACCCCTGATATAAACAACTTTGTAGAAGTTTAAAAAAAGAGTTTTCACTTATCTATGTACTTATATTGTCAGGCCTAGGCCCCTCTAGGACGAATGATAACCTAAAATAGAACCTGTCCTTTTCACGGTTTAAGTGTGTGGGTAGTTGAAAGCTGCTGTCCTGTGTCTCTACCAGTGCAGGATGGTGGTAGTAGTAGTAGTAGTAGTAGTAAGTAAGTGGACATTCAGCTCCATAAATTCTCTATCTAAATGATACTCAAAAACAGGAACTGACATCTTTCGTCCCTCTCCTCCTGTGTTATTTCTTTGTCTTTTTGTGACTGGCTGTCTCAGAGAGTAATGATGCAGATTGTCCAGGAGCTCTGCAAGAGACCGGGACTCAACAAATGTGGTTTTGACATGCCCACCATCTACATTCCTAATCCAAATAAGGTAAAGGTTGCAGTTTGAGTTCTAGGTGATCGTACACTTTGCCATACTCTTACTTCTGCTTCCTTGACTTGACTTGTAATTCCGTTTTTTTAAATTTTTTTTATGTGTTCCTGTCCTCAGCCAAAGTCGCTGTGTCAACCAGATTGAGGAGGTGTGTCGCACCGTTGAGAAAACTATTAACCATACAGTCCAGAATACCCTGAACTCCCTGGAGAAGGACTGTGAGCGCATCAGCGAGGCCATCACTGATACGCTCATCAACGACAGGTAACACACAGAAGCACTTTGAGTTACACTGCAATTTGAAATGCAAAGAAGTAACCTCACCTAGCTCCTGCATACTTTACTCTACAATTAAGTTAAATATTGTTTAGTTGACCCCTGTGCAGATATCTCAGATCAGTGGGACACCCGCAGCAGCATCATTCAGCGATGCCTTCAGAGAATAACCATGACCTTCTGCTCTCACAGGCAGACCAGTGTTGGGAACCGTCGGGCGCGCTGTAAGAGCTGCTTCCTGACCTTGCTGGGCTTCAGCGTCCCTATGGCTCTGATGGCCTTACTGGTGCTGGGCACTCTGTCCCAGGAGTTGTTGGACATGGCTCTGGGCCGTGAGGGCACAGAAACCCTCTCAATCTACCTGGTGAGCCTTTTAAGCGACTGCTCACTGTTGGGTTGTAATTGTTGTGTAGTCTACAAATAAAGCAGTGAAGTCTAATTTAGCTGCTCTTGTAATCCACAGAATCCCATAGTGAGAGTGTTTGAGTCCCTCTCTGTGGAGCAGCAGCTTTACAGCTGTGGTGGACTGGTCCTCCTCTCCTTCCTCCTGCTCATCATCGCACGCTTCTCCTTCAGGTATGGGAATACCATTTTTTAAAAATTTTATATAAATGCTCAGTCTTAATTTACCCTTTTATCCCAGGGTTTTCATTAAAAAAAAAAACATTTGCAATAATAAACTAATTTAATAATTTACATAATTATTGAAGCAGTAAATGCCAAATAGTGTTTGTGAGAATGTCTGTAAGAATTTGCTGCTTTCTTTATCACCTGCTTATAAATCACAGAAGACGGACAATCAGCAGATTAATTGATAATGAAAATGGTTAGTTAGCTAACTATAACACAGTTTTGTACATACACTACTATTTTACTGTACATCATATTCTTGTAATTTCAGCTTCTATTTGTATAGTATTTCTTAATAGTAATAATATAATATAATATAATATTTTACTGCATTTTCACTCCCCTCCCCCCTTTTTTTTTTTACTGCAGCGGTGACACTTTCAGTTCCCAAATGTACTTGTGGAATCAAGAAGATGATCTGTGTTACATGATGCATTTGGTTTTGGGACTTGTTAAAAATGTTTCCAACATCAGCTTGTATGTTGATGACAAATCTCATCGTTTCCCTCTCAATTCTTTGCAGGACTCAATCAACTCTGTCAGGCAAACAGAAAAGGCAACTGCAGGAGAAGCTAGAGTACGTTCAAGAGGTGGTCAAGACCAAAAAGGTATTGTGTGTGAGAGTGAGAGGCCGACTCTGGTGGTACTGGCAATAAAAATATCATGGTGTGTTTAACTGTCCTTTTCTTTCCTTCTAGAAAAAGCTGTATGAAGAATACCTTCGCCAGAGCGTCAGCGATCAGGACATGGACTTGTAAAGAGAAACAGACATACACAACTCAGCATCCCCACATTGACGTAGGAACAAATGAAATCAAAGCATTTCCAAGGTTTCACACCAGCCTGCATGTCACTCTGACCACTGGATGCTGTGTCGGAGATAAAGTTGTAAGCACACGGTGCCGTTGTGGTGCTTTGGATACTGTAAAATCTGTTTACCTATTAGATGACGTTACCTCTGAGCTCTTCAACCACACTACCTGCAGATAGGTTGCAGGGTTTGGGCTCATGGCAAGTGAGCTTTTGTTACTAATCACTTATTTGTTGTGAGCATTCAATATACATGTATTCTGTGCCTCTGCTCCACTCAAAGGAATTCAGGCTCATACCACTTTAAGATATTTAAAAACCTGCAATGTATTTATAATATTCCTTTATCAGAGAAATTGTATTTTGGTTGAACGGCATATAGCACTGTTTTACATGAGTCACTTTGTATGAGCTAGTGTTTCTGAAGACTTTCACCAGCTTTTTATATCGGTACCTGACTGTGTAGTATTACATCATGGATGTCTGTTTAGCCATCATGTAGAATATTAAATTAGTCCGCACAACTGATATTGAAAAATGAGGATTGTGAGCTAGCAATCAAACATTTAATCAATAACTAATTCAACTTTTTGTACTTTCCTGTTCTACATTGTGACCATGTTTTTAATTACAACTGACTTAAATAAAAAAAATAATCTTCAATATATGAGGTGGAGTCTTTTCCTTGAGAATTATTCTGATCTTTGAAAACTATTTAAATACATTTTCATAACTTTGTTCTGAGTAAATTCCTTGAGCCTTGATTTGCATTAGCTGATGTTCATCCTCTGTTCTTAGGTGTGACTCCTTTCTTGAAAATCTTTATTTTATAGTCTGCATTTGAAGATGGCAAGATTATCTGAAAATACAGAAATGTGTGTGGTTTGGGAAGAGTTTCCATAAGCAAAGTATATGGCTGAAACATCTGTTCTTTGTATTCTTAGCTTCAGTTTAGTTATTGCCACACCCTGTTTGACTGCAAATAGATAAGACAGGCAGGATGTCTGCCTTCCCTAGATATCAGATTTCTAGATGAAGAGATGAAAATCGAAGAGGAGTGTGTAAGAGTATGAGGGCTAGAGAGTCGAGTTGAGTCAATTCTATTAATAGAATTCATTTTTGGCCACAGTGTGTACAGTAGGTGTACAGATTCTGCTATAATCACAGATGGATAACTTTGAAGCTCAAAAACAACTTGTGTGCCGTCCCCATATCAAATGGTTTCCAGTTTGGTGAGAACAAAAGTCATTTTAGATGCTGTGGAGTTTTTTATTGAAAGCCAAACACAGGAAACTATAAAGCTTGTGCACTCATGCCTTTGTCAAGCAAAGGAAGCAGGTGCAGAAAGACTGAACTGCAAAGCTGCTGCTAATAAAATCCAGTTTCCTAGTTTCAGGGATTATATTTTTCACCTTTTTGTTCATTCATCACTTAAATCGTGTCTTGCTCTTTTACACAGAAGAAGGGTGATGAAACAGTCCCTCTCGAGTGAACAAACATTTCAGTTTAAGTTGATGATTACATAAGTCTTTCTGTGTAAAGGACACCAGAGGACTCATCATATCAACCTGCAGTATGAAAAGTGACCTGCTCGCCACAGCAGGGACAATAAATTGCAGAATGTGAGGGCCAGTGACTTGCCAGAGCTGATAACAAACAGCCAAAGCTCATTTTGCACTTTGCTCTTCCAACTAGCTCTGTGAGAAGGACACCTTTCCATGCAAACTCATTTTTGTGCTGATTTTTAGTTTTTCTGTGCGGTCGACTTACATGGAGCCACGACAGAGCAGAACAGAAACGTTTTTTATGATGACAAAGCCCAGCCTCCTGCAGAGAGCTACTCCAAAATACAAAAGCTGTGCAGAGAGGACTGTATAACCTTTAACATCAATGTGGATCTAGCACAACACTCTTCAAGATAAAGAATCCTTCACTACACTGCCTTCACTCTGACCTTTTCATTTGTAGAGGTTAAAAAATGGCAAAAAATTAAATAAATCAAATGCAAAAATAGTTGATCCCTCAGAATAGGAAGAGAAAAAATTTATTTTTTAAATCAGTCATTCATGCATGTTACAATGTTGTTATAGTTAACTAAAACTAAAGTCAAAACTACAACTAGGTGTGAAAAATGTTTTAGTTAACTGAAATAAAAATAAAAACTAGACTTTACAAAAATAACTAATTAACAATATTGTGTACTTACAAAACTAACTAAAATAAAATAATAATTTACAGGAAATGTCTTTTTAGTTTAAAGTCTGTCAACATGCATGAGGAGGCATTGGTGCATTTGTTTATTGAGAGTGGGGTGTCTACATTAAATCTGGGCCCTGACAAATACCCCGCATATTATAATAAAAAAAAAAACTAACACACCAGAACTATAATTAATAAATAATAACAAATTATTTCTAAACAATAAAAACTAAACTGAACTAAAAACCAAAATAAAAAAATAAAAACTGAGGAAAAATACAGAACTATAATAACTCGTTAATAAAAACACTGTATTGATTAGTTCACTAACTTCATACATTATGTGGTTTCATATACAGACTGTTGTTCAAAATGTGGTCCAGTGACCTCCAGTGGTCACCAAACAGTGGACAGCATATGTAAAGTCCATAAAGGGTGTGGCACTTACAGAAAGCAAATCATTCACCTATTTTATTGGTATTTAACCACAATTTAAAAAATAAACAGTAAATGCAGCCCAAAAGTCGAGAAGAGCCCAAGTTAAGGCAAAGAGGGAAGGTATTTGTGAACAGGAAACAGGTTGACGTGATTTCCGCAGGCTTAGACCGGGGAAAGTTGTTTCCTGAAGTTGACACTGCGCTGATCATTTCCACACTGAACTCCCGCTGCTCGTCCACAATGGCTGCCGCAGCTCTCTGGGACTCTTCATAGACGGTCCCCCGCCGGTGAGCTCCTGTCTGACGAGAGGATGAGCTCCGAGGGTGAACACTCAGGTAAAATAAAACACCGGCAACGTTAAACCTCTGGTTAAACTTTAATCTGCCTCTCACCTCACGGGGGTGGGTTTGTGAGGAGATAGCGACCTCTTTACGAGCTGAGCGTCAGTAAACATTAACGTTAACTTGTTGCTCGTCTGTCTCAGACACTGGAACCTGTTGCCGTGGCAGCAGCTCGGGTCAGATAGCGTTAGACGGCCTGTTAGCATCGTTGACCATAGACATGAACGGGCGGTGCTAGCTGCTAGCTCACACTTTACGCTACTTGTGTCCAAACTGGGCTCCGGGGGTCCTCTAATACACCACCAAAGGGGGGGTCCAGTAGACTGTCAATGCTGCAGACCAAAGTGAGTTTAACCTTCTTCAGCATGAATACATTAACTCAATGTGACAGCTCTCTTTCACCTTTACTAGTGTCCTATTTATGCCATATTTGTTTCAATAAATTCATCTCTTTTGAGACTTGTCGCAACTGTAGGTCCTAAACATGTTGACCAACAGTAACAGACAATGACAGCATCAACCAGTAAACCCTAATGAGGTGTTTAGAGTCTGTCTTTCCCTCTTATATTAAGAGAAACATTTATGAACCTGATTTTGGACTGATGGTTCAAAGGCACTCTACGGAAACAGAGACATTACACCTGTTGTGCTGTTACCCATTATTAAATACAATGCATTTTTAGACTTTTAACACAGCATTTGAAGTTCTGTTACTCCTCGTTTCACAGCAGTTTGTTCCTCACCTCTCTGTGGTCTAACAGACCCCAGGCTTTAACAGTTGGATAACACACTGTACATTTTCAGTTTCAATTTCATTTTTGTTGCCTTCATCCACTGTGTAAGCCTAGTTTGGGGGTTAAAGCTACTTACTGGGTTTTATTTAGTGACATCAGAAGACAATAATTGTGTGTAGTCCAGTGTGTGGGATTCAGTGGCATCTAGCGCTGTAGTTGCAGATCACAACTCTGTCGTGTCACCCTCCTCTTCCACACACAAAGGAGAAACTATAGTGGCCACAAAAAACACGAACACCCGTATCTAGATCCAGTGTTTGTCCCCTCTGGGCTACTGTAGATACATGGCAGTTCAACATGGCAAGCTCCAGAGAGGGCGACCCGTGGCGTGTGTAGATAAAAACACCTGATTTAAAGGTAGTAAAAACATAAAGATTCCTATATTCAGGTGATTATACAATAATGAAAACATACCTATGAATATTATATTCCATTTCTGCCAATAGATCTTTTAAATGTTACACACTGGACACTTTAAAATCAAATATAGATAGGGTTCACTCTCCTCATTGATCTCACAGTGTACTAAACATTGTTATTAACTGGTTATGTGCCCTGTCATCCACTCAAACAACTAACAATTGTGTCAGGTGGTGTCATTTAAGGCCTAATCCTTGAAAAAAATACACAAACACTATTACATCACTGGTAGAACTGTATATTTAAAGGATTTGTATGCCACTTTCAGATAGCTATACAACCTAAGTGCACACCTAACAAGGATGACATACTTACAACATACTTTGCAGCTTCACAACACAAGGAATTTAGAGTTGCTTGTTGCAAAGGTCTCAGTAGATAGATTAGTGACAACAGATGAGCTTCTTATCTTATAATAAGGTATTTAGGTCTGATTGCTAGTAGATTCCTTTTAATCATGATACTCACTGTTTGTCTGTCTTTTCATATTTAAAACAACGTAACGAAGGCAAAACACAGCAACCTGTTTTTAATTTTCAGAGGCCGGCCTGCAGGCCCAGCTAGCCGAGTGCCGAGCTCAGGTCAAACACTGGGAGGGTGTGGCGACGATCTGTGAACTGAGCAAACAGGAGGAACTAGCAGAGCTTCAAAAACAATGTGATCAAGAGATCCAGTCTCTGCAGGAGGCTCTCAGAGGTCTGTGTGTGTGTGTGTGTGTGTGTGTGTGTGTGTGTGTGTGTGTGTGTGTGTGTGTGTGTGTGTGTGTGTGTGTTTGGCTGTGTCTGCATGTTTACATGTGTGTGATAAGAATAGTGTGTTTCTGACCCATATTGGATTGTTGACACTGATACCGATTGTAGAAGGAGAGAATTCACCGATTACCAATATGGCTGACAATATGGTGAACCTTTGAGCTGGAAGGAAAATATATCTATATGTCCATTTTGCACCGATATGACTCTGCAAAGGTACTCAGGAGACTTTTTTCTTAAATAACTTTATTAAAGAATATTTAAGTTTAATATTCTATGTCAAATAATTTAGCAGACACAACGTCAACCAATTCCTGAGGACACTGCTGAAAGCTGCGTCTCCTACTCTCTGCTGTTTGCCACAGTATTGTAAATCACAGCACACTCTGCCATGATATTTTCTTTTTCAAAGAACTCAATAACTTACTCTGTTCAGTAAATGTTCCCAAGAAATTGCTAATAGCTGTAAGTAAGAGAGTCAGAGATTACCATCTCATTGTTGGACAAACTCCAAGTACTTAACATAAATACAGTAACAGCATATGATGAATGAAAGCATATATAAGTTCAAGCAGGAAAATATAGTTGTGCATGTAACACAGTTTTAAGAGAAGATAAGCCTGCTTTGATAAGAGGTCTGGATATAAGCAGCCTTCATAGCTTTCATTTAACAAGTGAGACGCCTGTTTAGAGGACCCGAGAGACCTTGACTTTTATCTTTCAATCCAGTCAGATATGTACTGAGATACCGGGCCTTTAAAAGCTCTAAAGAAAAAGTGGAACCTGCAGTTCAAGTGCTTTCTGAATACCACAGCATATTTAAGACTTTTGAACATATTGAGTGTAAAAGAAGTCATTGTGCTTCCAGTAAATGCATACACAAGCAGTATCTGGGAATATGTGGGAATTAAACAGCTCTATGGTTTTTGGTTTTGGTGTTTGTTTCCTCTTTGTGTTTTCAAATGACTAAAATAATATTTATCATCATCCTGTTGACTTTCAATCTGTAGCATTAGTTAAACACTTGATACAAATTCAGAATGAGCAGACTAAAATGTGGTAGGTAAAGGTAAAAGGTTGGGAGAGGACTGGGAAAAGCTTACACAGGGGTTACACATTAAGTGGTTTCATCGTTGTTTGATTGTGCTGTTGTGTTTACAGAGACAGCAGCGCAGTACGAGGCCAGAATAGCAGTTCTTCAGTCTCAGCCTGTGGAGTGGAAGAGAGCCAGTGGACAGTCTGTGGTCAGTGTTTGACTTTGTATGTTCTTTCACATATTTTTCTCCAAGTGTTGGGGTTTAATCCCACTGTTTGTTTTTCCTCTACCTGTTAGACCAGTGGAAGGAGAGCCAGGATGGATGCAGAAGTCGCCAGCAATGACTCCCGATCCCCGATCACCAACAGCCAGACAGAGGCCGAGGCCACGGCATCGACAGACAGGAGGCACAACCAACCAGCGGAGCTCGAGGCGGCGGAGGGAGAAGGGACAGCACTTACGGCAGAAGGGTATTTTTCATTGCGACACTGCGACTCGGCCTCGTTGTCCTCCTTCTCCTTAGACACGCCCTCTCTGCCCAGAAAACTCCACGCTCAGGACGACACCGACTCTCTGGTCTCCACAGGAACTTTGGTGCCTGAAGCCATCTACCTGCCGCCAGCTGGACACCGGCTGGTCACGCACAGCGACTGGGATGCACTCAATGCTCAGGTACAGATTTAAAACTATGATATATGTTTCAAAGCTTAGGTTTTACACTTTTATTGAATCATTGCGTCTTTTATAGACACAAATCCACATGTTGAAATTTAGTTCAAATACACCTTATTGTATAGCAATAGAAAAAAAGCATCTTCACACTCCAATCTGTGCAATTTAGGTTTTCAGTCTGACCAAATGACTTTGCAGTGTAATAAAGGTGTGCTGTGTTGGGCAGGTGTCAGAGCTGCGAGGGGAGGTGAGTCGGCTGGAGGCTGAGAAGGAGGAGCTGGAGAGAGAACTGGATACACAGACGAACCACACACACAAACAGGTGAACAGCACTGCTCTGAGTGTGCGTATACAGCAGCGAGTGTGTAGAGAGTGAGCCAGTCACACACACACACGACAGAGTGGATATGATGGCTGCAGAATTTTACACTCCTTTGTTTGTGTGTTCAGGTATCAATGCTCCAGTCTCAGGTCCACACTTCCGAGGCCCTACTCCAGGATTTACAGAAGTCTTTTAGCCAATCACAGAATGCAGTCCAGAGTCGGCTGGTGAGTGATAGAGTTAAATTGATACCATGCTCATGTCTGTACTGTAAATAGGAAGCTACAGTCGGTTAGCTTAGGTTGTCATAAAGAGTGGAAACAGAAAAGGCGAGCTCAGCTCTGTCTTATTAACATGTTATCAGTTTTTATGTTAAGCTAAGCAGCCGCTGGCTTCAGTTATACATTTACTGTACATATGTGAGTGGCGTTGATCAAAGAAAGCTAAGAACAGAAGTGTTTCGTATTGTGTATTTGCCTTAAATGTGTAGCCCATGTGCATGATGCCTCACTCATCCATCACACAGTTATACAACCAGCAGTAATCACTTGATTCCTCTGGGAAGTCTGTATAAGTACCCATACTGTAAGGTATTTGTGTGCCAATTTATTACCATGTTACTCAGTTGGAGTAGGTGTTAAAAACTGCATTTGTGTGTCCAGGCAGAATTATCATTTTCCCAGAGGAAGATGTGCAGTGAGCTGTCCAGACTGAAAGGAGAGGAGGTTGAGGATGAGGGACCAGAGTCCAGCTCATCATTCCCACCAACACTTCAGGTACAATTACCGTTCTAGGGTTTCATTTACAGTATATCTGTTTCACGATTGCAGGGCAAGGAAAACTCACTTGGAACCCATTTTCTGAAAACTCATATAAACGCAGATTATAGAAAAACTTAAAATAATGTATTTGACATTATTTGCGTAAGTGTAGTTTCATATTGCATTGTAAAGGCAACATAAACCTGTGAGAACTTGATTATGTGTCTTCCCTTTAGTTAGGTGCTTATACTGTAAGCATTTGTGTGTGTTCATGTTCAATTTTGTTGGTAGTTTACGTTTATTTGGTTTCTTTGGTTTCTTTGGTTCTGTTTGCTAACATCATGAAGGTTAGCATTCCTTCACTGTTCATCACTGAAGGAGGTTTATACCGGAGCTGAATTATCTGCAGAGGTCTCCTCCTCTCCAAAACAAATAGACCCAGTGATCAAAACCAGTACAAACTCTGAATAAAGTAGTTTCATCTTAAAAATCATTGTTTCTCCGACGCTGATGCTGCTAATGTTAGCTCACCGTGTCACTTACAGAGACGTCCAATAACTACAATCCTTCATCTGGTTAAAATATATAGTTAAAAACCACCAAGATCTAAAAAGTGTGTGGTAAAAACTGATAGAAAGTCAATTTATGACAACTTCTGGCAGACAACCACAACACATGCGCAAAGTAGATATGATATATACAGATATATGTACTTTTTTTAATTTATAGTTTTAGTTATAGTTACTGTATGTGTGTCTGTGTAGCTTGAATTTCCCTGAGGATAAATAAAGTATCTATCTATCTATCTGCTTGCATTGTTAGTGTGTGCGCTGATTGTTGAACTCTAACCTGCAGGGGGCGCACTGTGAGGAGCGTCTTCGCATTGAGATTGTCAACCTGAGGGAGCAGCTGGACACCCGGACAGAGGAGAATGGTCTGTGGATTATATTATTATTATTATTATTATTATTATGGACATGTTTTCAACACTGACCGTTGTGACGCTTACACATTTTTTTTTCTCCCTTTCTCTCCTCCTACCTGCTCCTACTGCAACTACTGTCATCAGAGGTTTTAGAAGGTGAGTGAACAACTAATGCTTTATTTTAAGCCAATTAGTAGGTCTTGTGATTGGTGTAGGGTTACATTTAATTCAGATTTCTTTAACCTTTAACCTCTGAACCCTGTTGGTGAGTACAGTGTTATCATGAGCAACCATACTGATGGCTGAAAACTTGTAATAAGCTGTAATTTTCCTTAATCACAGTGTTTTTTCTGTTGATGGTGCACTGACTGATCTCCTAGGACAGACTTTAAGCCGCCTTGTATGTGATTGTGTTTGCAGTGCAGCTGTCCAGTCTGAAGACAGAGACAGAGAGGATCCAGGCCCAGAAGGACCAGTTGCAGGCTGAACTGCTGGCCTGCCGCACTGAACTGGAAGCCCTGCGGGTGGCACTCTCTCATGTGCAGAGCACCAACAAGGCCCTCAGTAGTGATAAAGTAAATCCAACCTGCTCTTTCAGCACTAAACTTAGTTGTTACTGTTGTTGCTTGAACTGTTAACTGCTGTCTGTGTGCCTCAGTGAAGTATATAGCGCTGTTCTTTATACTGGTGATGAATCCTGTTTGTAGTGGGCTGGTCTCATTCTTGGGAATGCTAATCTTAACAAAATTTCCAACTTCAATCAACCAGCTCTTGTGGTCTTCCTCTGCAGATGGAGTTGCTCAGTTATCATCTTTGAACAGAAAGGGTTACAAGCTCAAATACTGTATGAGCACGGCTGAAATTCCATACTTTGGTCACATTTATGACAACTCCACCTTCTCCATGACAACTGAGCAACTCCATCCACTGAAGAATGTTTTGTTGATACTGCCACTAGGAGTTGCTAAAGTATACATTTGCATATCAGACATCTCATTTGACTGTTCTCTCTGTGGCTGTCAGGCGGCGCTGCAGCAGCAGTGTCTGGAGCTGCGTAGCCAAGTCATCAGTCTGCGCTCCCAGGTCGACACCAGCCAGACTGTACAGATGGACTTTGTCCAGCTCTCCCAGTCACTGCAGGTAAGAGGCTAAGGACAGTTGTAGGAGATAGCTTGAGTGGAGTAGTGATGGTTGAACTTGAATGAAGTTGTTAAAACTGACCTCTCTCTCTCTCTCTCTCTCTCTCTCTCTCTGTGTAAAGGTGAAGCTGGAGTTAATTCGGCAGGCTGAGAGTTTTGAACAAGTCAAGGAAATCCTGGAAGAGGGAGTCAGTGAAGCTGGTTCCCCTCCTGCAGATGCCTCGTGAGTTATACAGTCACACTGGAACCAAAGAGCACAGACCAAGAGAAAACATCCCAAGAGTGACCAATAAGGGCCAACTAACCATTGCCACATGTCGTGACCACTGGGATTATCACAGCTGGTGCTGCTAGCACTGGTAACATTGGATGGATACTCCTAAAGAGGCATTACTCCTTTGTATGTTTCAGAGATGATGGTTTGGTGTCACCGGAACTGTTTCTTAGTGACCAAAGTGATTTTTGATGAACCTTGAATGCTTTGGAGACACAACATTCCCTTTTTCTTACATCCAGTAACACGTTTATTCCTGTATTAAAACATATGTAAATGTATTATGTAGATAAAACTGACATGACTCCAGCAAAACACTCGACAGTCCAACACTTTTTTTACACTGTATCAGTAATTGATATTCAAATTACACAATCAATCCCCATGCAAACTTTTTCTGTGAAGAAGGACCTCTGAAAGCAATGGATAACAGTGCAATAATGAAGAGCTATAAAGTAGAGAAACTCTCCTAAATTAACTGAACTTCAGATGGGATATTTTATTATATGCATTAATTTGCCATCTTTTTATTCTAGCCTAGCATTGTTAACTATTCCTTTTCTAACTACAACTCATGATCGCTTTTAGACAAATTGATTTGGATGAGGACGAGGACACAAGTAAAAATCGATGAAGAAATGTGGAGGTGTAATATCTCGTCAGTCTGTTTTGTGTTAATACATATTGAGAAGTAAAGACAGGCTGTCTGTTTCTTTTGTTCAACATTTGATTTCATCAGTTCATCAGTACTACGATAATGTTTCTCAACCCTGGGCTCAGAACTCCATGCAGTCAGGAAGTTTATAGGACTGATATGCATAATAATATATTTGTTTAACTACATAATTGAATAAAATAATAAAATAGGGTTTCATATACTGTAACTTGATCATTTCATTCAACTTAATTGGAAATACAATGCATGATCTTCACATTTTAATACAGAATACAGCCTAAGAGTCACAGGTCATGAAAGGTTGAAAATCATCAAATAAAGTAGGTAACTTTAGACAGATGATAACATTTCTAAAATGATGCATAATTGTTTATAGCTACTGAACAGAGCTGTAATATGTTAAGCGGGGCAAATTGTTCTTAAAGTTAAATATTTGGAAGAAGGTTTCTTCTTCTGTTTTCTGTTTTCAGTCACACCAGGTTCACTGGTTGTCATTGACCACATTATTATTCCTGTTGTGCTCTATTGCATAACATAACCATCAGGAAACAGCGCTAAACATCCATTAACAGCAAATATACAGACTGAACACTGACACTGAGTCTGACAATGTCTTTAATACATATCTTTATTCTTTAAGAATAGAATCAACACAGAATAGTTTTAATAAATCTCACCTATATATTAACTTCAGTACATACACAGAAAAATATTTTGCAGCTTTTTTTTTGGTGTAGGGCTTGTGTGTTTTCTTTTGTATTCATGCCACTTGATGTTTTGATCACGTCAAGTGGCTGTTGGCAGCTCTCTTTCAGTGGGAGCGCTCAGCCTTTTTCTCCATCCTCTGTCTCTCAGCTCTCTCGCTGCTTCAGCCGCTCTCTGTTGCACTTTGCCTCTAGACTTTCCCTGGATAGGAAAACAGACGCCTGTCAGTTGGAGGGCAAGGGCAGTGCGCTGAGGTTATGTGATTGCATTAAGAGTGAATAGTCCATTTGTTTAAAGGAATCGTTTTGGGAACATTTTGGGGAGATTCGCTTATTAGATTAGATATCTAGAGTTAGTTTATACCGCTCACATAGTGAAGTAAAGCTACAGCCATCATCCGGTTAGCTTAGCTTAGCACAAGAAAAGAGCCAGTCTGTCTCTGTCCAAACAAAATCCGCCTTCCAGCACCTCTAAAACTTGTAATATTTAGCTTGTTTAATCTGAACAAAAACCATAGTGTAAAAACAAAACATTTAGGTTTTTACTGAGGATTATGGGTGGGACTATTTTTTGGATGCGACCAGTAACATAACTTCTTGTTGCCTGGCAACTGCTTAGAGCCAAGAAATAGTCTGATGTAACACTCATATTCATAAAATAGCAAATAGTTGTTTTTACACTTTTGTTTTGTATAATTAATATAACCATATTTTGAACAAACAAGATACTGTATAACATGTTAATTAGTGAGCTTTAGAGGGGCTGGCAGGCTATGTTCCTTTTTTCAGCAAGTAACTTAAAGCAAACCAGAATATTCAGCACAATTATTAAAATTTTAGTCCTTTATCAATCTTATCACCAGTGTCACATAGAGAGAATTTAATATAGAATATAATAGAAATTACAGATAAAATATAAATTCCAGTTAAACTCAATACAACCCCCCCCCACACACACACACACACACACACACACACACACACACACACACACACACACACACACACACACACACACACACACACACACACACACGCACACCTTGTGACAGTGCCAAGTGATAAAATCTAAAAGCACTGTCAAACATTAGAAGGCTGCTGTTTCATAATCACAACTGAGCATACATGGTGTGTTTGAGAACTAATGCAACATAATCCAGCAGCATTGTGATTATGTTCATTCTTAACCTAATTTTAAACCTTGTTGGCAAAATGTATTAGTTGGATTACAGTAAATGCATAATCAAAGCAAGTGTGCTAACCGGCACTTTACTGTTTCAAGCTGCTACAAGCTACTTTAAGCAATGAGCTAAAGTAACATTTTCAAGCTTTCAGCGATAAACACCAACCACAGTACTATGTATGATACTGAAACCAAATATTAGATTTCTACTGGCAGTTCATGACAGATGTACAGCCAGCCGAACTGATCGCAGCTACTCTCAGGATCCAAATGCATTAATCCAGAAAGATTTGCACAACAAAGAAAAAGTCTACAGAACACACACAAACATACACACAATGGACATTGCGTGCACGATGCAGAGTGCTTAAACCATTAGCACGAGTGAGGGGAATACCTGGTTTTGTTACAGGGTTTGGAAGAGGGGGAAACAGGTTTAGGCTGGATTGTCAGGAGAGGGAACGGTGAAAAAAAGAGCATCCAAGGAGAGGAAAATTAGATAAATTTCATCAGAGTCAACAGAGATTAGAGGAAAGAGGGTGGGAGTGAATTAAAACTGTGTCAGGAATAAGAAAAGAGGGAAAAGAGGTTAAAAGACATTCCATAACATTCCATTAATCAATCATTTAATCAAACAAGACAACAAATTATGTTTGAATTGCTAAAGGAGGATGAAACAATGTGTTCTTAAAATCTAGACCCACACAGTTTGTGTATTTTAAAAGTAGTTATTGGATCTGAATACAAATACAGGGACACATTTGTACATCTGAATGAACTAATTACCACTACACACGGTCGGTGCATTGCAATTCATTTTTTAATTAGTGTTATTTCCAAAAATATATATAAAAAAAAAAACATAAAAACATAATTTAGAAGATATTATTAGATGTGATCATAAACGGTGGGACATTATAATAGTACAGTAAGAACATAAGGTCGTGGTGCACAAGCCTGTTGTCTTCTTATAGTACCAGTCTTCATTGCACTTCATTACTCACCGACATGATGTACTGTAACAAAGGTGATTTCAGTGTTCTCCCAGTGTTGAAGCCTCATTTATTGTTTTAATGTTGCTGACTCATAACTGCTGCACTCCCAACAGTTCTGACTATGGTACATTTTTAAAATTAAAGATAATCTCATTATTATATAATGCATAATCTTTATTTGCCAGAGTTAAACCATCCCAGTGTGTTGAAGCTGCATACATACTCCTTATGTAACCAGCATCAGTCATGCTCCTTCAAAATGTGTGCATACAGTGTTAGTATTTAATACCTTAAGGCCGACATCTCTCAAACACACTGGCGAGGCAACATCTGTTCCACAGTAGTCTCACACACTATGAACCTCGTACTGATAGAATAAAGGACAATGTGGTGAACAGGTCACACGTTTAGCTTACCCTCCAGGTATGTGCGAGCCACAAACTTGAGAACCTCATCAATGAGGATGACTGGGAGGGAGAGCTTCAGCACCATCATCCACTGCTCCACGTTCAAGTGAGTGAGCTTGAAGATCATCTGTGGAGGAGAGCAGCATCCGTTAGTCTTACAGTAAGCACATCTGTATATTAATTATATAGATACTGTTGAGATTGGCCCTCATGTGACTGTGAATACCATTTTTGATACCTGATGATAGGAATGAACGATAATAATCAGTACGAATGTCTGTATTCTTCCCAATGAAGAATGCGTTGTAGTTTCTAACTGTGACCACTAGAGATCAATGAACATCAGATTGAATTCATGAGCATATCTGTTAGTTTGTTATCACTTGTGTTTATTTCAAACATACTCCACTGAAAGTATTCACCCAGTATTGTGTGAAGAAATTGTGAAAAAATGAGGAGAGGCTTTGTTGTCACACCATTTGAAGAGTTGACAAAGGCCTCAGAAGGCTGAGCAGTGTGTCACCTTTAATGCCGCCTCTGTTAGTCATCTGTAAGTATTTAAGCAATGGGAATGTGAGCAAGAACATGGAGGCTGGAGAGGCAGTGTGTGTAAGGGAGGAGCAGAGGGAGATGGGTGTTTGTTTTGGATCAGAGGGCTGTAGTGCAGGAGGCCAGACTCACGGGCAGGGGGTCGACGTAGATGATCATGAAGTGAAGGGACATGGAGAGGCTCATGGCAGCCACCAGCCAGACGTTGCTCCAGGGGGGCATGCGCACCAGGGACTGGTTCTCAGACAAGCTGGGGGGGGAGGGAGGAGGAGGAGGAGGAGGAGGAGGAGGAGGAGGAAGGTGGGGTTGGATGGGGAGGCCGGAGGGGTACGTTAATGCAGACTGAAAATGTGTGAGGGCATATGAAACAATGTCTGTTTGCTGAGGTGAATGCAGGAAAGTAAATGTGTACAACAGGACCTTGAAATTCCTAGATTTTAAAAATATTTTGTTTAAGCATGTTTGTCCAAAGGGGTCAAAAGAGTCAGTGGATGAAGTACAGTACTCAGACCCTTTAAAAGTAAAAGCAGCAATAGCACAGTGTTAAAATACTTGCCTGTGTACGTGTTATGTAAGCAGTAGTTTAGTGTTGTAGACAATGTGGAGCTAATTTGAACAGTTGTATGTACTGCAGTAAGCTCATTATATAAGTTACAACTATAGCTGACAAATAAATGTAATACAACATACATCTCACACTTTATTGTAGTGTAGTAGAAGTATTAAGTGGAATAAAATGGAAATACTCAAGTACAATTAACTTTGAGTACAGTATTTGAGTAAATGTACTTTGTTACAGTGTTACATAAACAGTGTTGAGGTTTAGCGCTCAGGTGAAAGTACCCATAATGCCCTATGAGTTGACAGTGTAGTCAGACCTGTTCAGAGCGTTGCACATCTCGATGGTGACCAGCACAGACAGAGCCATGGTCATCGGAGGAGCAGCCTCAAACACCTCGCAGTGGACTCCATCAAAGTCCTCGTTGTCCTCGCTGCACTGCATGAAGTGTGACTGACAGGGAAGACAGAAACATTTATTCTTTGGTCTCTGAGAAGCCAAGATCCTAGCATGAAGCGTGTTTGTAAAGAGGTTCTGTAGTACAGCAGCTGGACTTTGTGATCGGGTATCACAGGTGCAGAGTGTTAAAAACTAACCAGCTGGTGGAAGGTAACCATTGGGCC